GGCCAAGAAGGCGTTCAGGAGGGGGGTGAAGGGAATGGCGATCGGGGCCATCAGGGAGTCGTAGTGCATCCCGATCCATTTGCCCCGATGCCGATCGATAACATTCCCTAGCTTCCGGCTCGTGTCGAATTCCACCCGATCTACGAGCCTTTCAGCAATCCTAACCGCCTCGCCTGTGGTCAATCAGCTCATTTGTTGTTCGACATTCTCGCTGTTCAAGAATTCGAACTCCGCTGCGGCTGGTGCGGCCGGCCCGGCCGTGCCTTCCTCGGCTTGCTCGGGGGTGTTTTCCCGGTCGCTTCCTCGAGCAACGGCTTCCGGGTGGTCCCCAACCACCCGGGTTGGCGTTTCCCTAGCGCCTTCGGTCGGGGATCCTTGTCTCCCCGACGTGGTTCCTTCTTCTTCTTCTTCTTCGCCGGAGCTCCCCGATCCGCTTGAGCTAGAGCTCGACGACCCGGATGAGCTGGACGACGTGTCTTGTTCGGCGGCCCGCTCGGGGGCTGGCGCCGGTCGGTAGATAACTTCGGGGGAGTAGGACATGATGTCCACCTCCTCGTCGCTGAGGTGCTCGACCTCCTCGTCGTAATCCGCGATCGATGCGTTTTGACTGTCAGAGTCCGTCATTTCGATCTACCTAAAGGTCGGTCGGGGTTAGTGAAGGACTTAAAGTGTCCGGGACAGTTAGTTGACCTAGCAGTTCTACCTAAGATGGAAGTGTAAAGAGAAGAGAAGGGTTGAGAACTTACCGAATGGGGGAACTTTGCGGATGAAAGCTCGAAGGTCCTTGCTCGATTGTCTTGCTGATCTGCTGCTCGGGACTCTCTGAGGGTACCGACTGAAGCAAAAGAGTGAGGAAAGTTCAAATGAGGGCCTCAAGGGCCTATTTATAGGAGGGCATTTAGGCGGGAAAGTCGTCCACTTGCGCGACACGACCAGCGCTGATTCCGAGGCAACGGTTGCAGTCGCAGAGGCCGGCAGTGGCCGACACGTGGCGGAGAAGGGAATGACAGCTGGCCGGTCGGTTTAGCGGCCGGCGGTTGGGTTTCTTCATCCCGGCCCATTTTTTCCCGGACGATCAAAAAGGCCCGAACTGGGGGCCTCTTGGTAGGGAATATCCCGACCGACATAGCTTCACCACGACCGAGAAGCCTTTGTCCTTTTCTCTTTGTCTTTGCAGGTAACAGGTCGGGCTCCTTGAGAAGAACCCGGTCGGGGGCCGACCGGGAGTTGCCCGAGCGACGGTGTCGACTGCCGAGCGGTAGCCCTTTGGCGAGAGAGCTGACGAAAGACACGTGGCGATTCTCTACGACGACAGACAGGGCACCCGGGAGGGCGACACGTGGTGGCTACGTGGAGGGCATGCCGAACGGCTGGAATCCTGTCCCCGGCATAGCGGCTATAAATACCCACAGTAGCTACAGTTTAAGGGACTTTTGGACGATCGATAGGTTGTTGTTGGAGAATCCCGACCGCAGTCAGTCGGTACTCAGAGCAACCAAGTAGATTGTACTTAGGGCCTTTACCGTGATCAATAAAGATTTTTACTTGCTTTAATTGATCTCGTGTTGTTATATATTGCTTACGTATAATTAGCAGTATCAATCCCCTACCTAAGTAGGTGGCGGGACAGGACCAGACCGCAAGCAAAGTCCATTTTGACGTCTCTATTCATCAACTAGAATAGTTGTGGGTAATTTATATCGTGCACCATAGCCCCGGGCACAAAACGCGCACGTTTCAATTGCTAACGTCACTCGTCCGTCCAAACGGCTCAAACCCCATTATGTGTATTCAGTTAAAAGTTTCTATGTTGTGTTATGAGTTTCTGTGTATTCTGTTAAAAATTTATGTGTATTCAGTTAAGAGTTTATGTGTACTATATTATGAGTTTATGTGTATTATGTTAAGAGTTTATGTGTATTATTATATATTATGTTAAATTATGTGTATTCTATTTTGAATTTATGTGTATTCTGTTATGAGTTTGTGTGTACTATGTTATGTGCATTTGAAACAGAGAATTTTTTTGTTTTCAAACAATGCACCAAAACGATATCGTTTTGGGAGGCACAAGGCGTACATTGCTATATGCACTGTGGTGCACGGTATAACGATTGGTAGTTGTGAAGCTTGCTTATTTCCAAGCCCTAATCAAAGCACATACAAACAGCAAATATAAAATGTTGCAAAAAGGTGGAATATGCTTCATTTGAAGTTACAGACTTCCAGTCAACAAGCTACAAGAATCATGTAAAAATTCCATCTTTACATATCCTTCTAATGTTATCAAATTCAGAATTGGCTAGCAACTTACATTCAATTCAAGGCAAAAATGTAATTTCATCAACTGAACCAAAAACAAAATAGCTTCCTGCTTAATAATACCACCAACATTAAGTTAATCCAAGATACTTTAGATGCTAAGTGTATGAGCATATCGAGAGAATTTTAGTCTCTAAGGATGACAAGTGAGCCAAAATTTTGAAGCCCCAAAATTACTTTCAAAACAAAATACAAAAGACAAAAATAGCCATAGCCATCCACAGTCAAAGATTACCTCTTTTTTGCCTTCTCGCCTCAAGCACCAACCCCATCTGCTGTTGTAACAAACCCGCCATCTTCCCACAAACTTCAGCCTGTTCTTCCAACAACTTAGTCCACTTCTCCTCAATCTCCTCAGCCTTGGAACTCCCAATCAAATTCAGTTTTTCCTTCAACATATTCAATGTCTCAGGAGAACCCGTGGGATAGTTCTTCACGCTGAAAGAATTAGCCAAATGTGGGTATTTCAAATTAAAATCCCCTTCCTCAGTCTCCACTTCACCATTAACTATGTCTTTGATAACTTGTTTATTTTTGTCCTCAAGAGCTATCTGCTTATCTCTTTCATCAATGGCAATTTGTTTATCACTTTGATCAAGAGCAATCTGTTTATCTGTTTCTTCAACCACAGTTGGATCATCTTTTTCCTCAAGAGCACTCTGTTCAACTCTTTCCTCTTTTTCCTCAAATGCAATCTGCTTATCTTTTTCCACCAAAGCAATCTTCTGCTTCTTCTTCTTCTTCTTTTCAATTTCTTCAGCCTTAGTTGCACTCTTCTTCCTCTTCTTTTCACTTTCTTCTTCATTAGGTATATTCATGTAGTTATCCACTTTAACACTGTTTCTTGACTCACTAATTTTCTTAACTTCAACAGGCTGTTCACTAAATTTGTTAACTTCAACAGGCTTTTCACTAATTTTGTTAACTTCAACAGGCTTTTCACTAATTTTCTTAGCTTCAACAGGCTTTTCACTACTTTTCTTAACTTCAGCAGGCTTTTTTACCTTCCCATTGGCAATTTTCACATTCAGTTCAACATTATTACTGATTGCATTCAGATTTTTACCATTAACACTACCCGAAGCAGTACCCCAAATCTGTTTTGAAAGCTCAAACGACATAGAATCATGAGGCTTAGGAAAATCAAGTTCATCCCCTTTCTCAGAAAGGGTCAAGAACTTTTTCTTAAGCCTCCTAATTTTTTCGGTCATCTGAACCTTAGAAACCTCAATGTGCAATTTATCCTTAATAAAATCATGAAACGCGGACATATCAGTATAAGATCCGTTTTGAGCCTTGTAATCAACCATACCTTGTAGAACAACAAGCTGATCCTCATCACTCCACAGCCGGTTCGACCCGGCAGAAGCCGCGGACTTCTTCTCCTCCGCATTGCCGTCTCCTTCTCCAGTTTTGCTCCTTTTCCTCTTTGAATCTTTCTCTATGGCCTCCGCGGCTCGCTTCGCCGATGATTTTGATGGAGCAGGAGGCTTCGGGGGAGAAGGCGGAGGAAGCTTGGAAGAGAGAATGGGCTTAATGGTGAAGTCGGAGGCGGACGGTGAGGGTAGAGTTGCGTGGGATTCGTCGCATTCAGAAACGGAGTCGTCTTGATTCAAAATTGGAGATGAAGGCGCCCTTTCGTCGGGTTCTGATTCGTACTCCGCTTCAGACTTGTCAGCTTCTTGCTCAGATAGTTCTTCTTGTTCAGACTGCCCCTCGTCTTCATGGGAAGAAGACGCAGAGGGAGGCTGGTCCACAAGGCGAATTTTGGATTTAGGAGCCATTGTTTCTCGGAGTGTTCTTTAAGGATGAACTGACGAGACAGGGTTGTGCTTTATGTAGGTTTAGGGTTTTTATTTGTGCGGGTAATCTTCTAATTTGGCATTTATTTAAAACAAAAAATCAATCTATACTTATTATTCCCGCTCAAAATAGTGTTATACTAACTGTAAAATTGTATAATCCAATCCAAAATAGAATATATTATATTATCTTTTCCTATTCGTATTATAATTTTACATTAGACTTTTTATATTGTAATATGTATGGTAAAATAGTGCAATATAATTTCTAATAAAATATATTATTTTTTACTTTCAAATTCATTGTACATTAAAATTTCATTTCATTAATGAAAAAAAAAAAGAAAAAGATATGTAATTCACTAAATAATACTGATAAAATTAGCAGTAAAAAGTAAAATAGAAAAATATCCGTAATTCACTTAATAATAATAAGATTTGCACCTGTGATTTAATAGAAACTCAATTGATTTAAATGGATTTAGTCAAAATTTTAAAATTAATATATAGTGTTATATAACTCTTTTTTGTCTGTTAAAATTAAATTATGTAAAAGTTGTTTTTTTCTTAGCATTAATTTGTGGAAGTGGTAAACCATAGTGGCTCAACCACCCATTAGGTGGAAGGAACATAAATCGTTATAATCGTGAATATGATTTTAATAGAGTTCAACAATTATATAACACCGGGGACTAAAAGTGTAATATTATGAACCATTAAACGACTAAATTTGTTTAAATTAATTTACAAGGACTAAATTTTCAAAAGTGAAACAATTCAAAGGCCAAAAACGTTGCGTTCTAATTCTCTATACAAATTAACAGTAGAATATACCAAATTTGTCGGAACAATTAATGGGTTTATTAGCCAAAGCCATAATAGAATTACAGATTCCTTTTTGTTTAATATATATACAGAGATGTATACAGCCAAACCAGGGGAATTTGGGGATACAATGAAGTACAAGGCCTGAATAATGCTAAGCTTACTCTCTTTTGTAGAACAAGTATGAAGAAGTGTTACAACTTACAGGGATGAGGGATAGATCATTCTGCAAAACACTACCCTGCTGTATCAATTCCCACATTTCTCATTCACCTAAACATGCAACACAGTGAATATGAATGTTGACGTTGGGTTAAGGATTCGATTAATTTAGCATCAGGTGGCAGCAGTGGAGGAAGATGTTCTGTCACAATGGCTTATAGTCCTTTTGCTCCCGAAAATATTTGTCTTCACACCATAAAAGCACACTGTGTGGATCGGATCGAAGCAGGAAAACTGAAAGCTTATGATGAATCAGTGCTCTCGTCATCTGAACTGAAATCATCGTCGTCCATCTGTCGTGCTTGGATTGCTGGAAACAGCCGTTGGCGCATATCAATCAGCGACTCGGGTTGTGGTTCTTGGGAGGAAGATGGTTGTTCTGGTTCTTGGGAGGAAGATGATTGTTCTGGTTCTTGGGAGGAAGATGGTGGTTGTGGTTCTTGGGAGGAAGATGGTGGTTGTGGTTCTTGGGAGGATCCGGAAGAAGGTAATGGGATTGGTGGTGTTTCCTTTTTTGGAGCCTTTACCTGCTGCTGCTGGGCCTTAGCTTCCTTCTCGACCTCTTTACATACCTTGTCCAACATGACCAAGAAATCACGAACGATGATAAAGAGACGCAAGCCTTCATCCTTCCCAGATTTCCCATGGAAGTAATCTCCGGTGCTCTTCACCAAAGCCATGATCCTATGCTCTTCTGTGAGCAGCGTTGGGATTTCCGCTTCCGCGTGCTCCACAAAGCTAGTAAGTGTTATGCCGAACTCATCTCCCTCTAAACTCGCCATATCTTTGTTTAGAAAATCCTTAGATTTCAAAAGTGAGTGCCCAAGTTTTGCTACAGTCTGTGTTAGGTTGTCACCTTCTATGACGGCTGCCTTTTTCACATGCTTGAGTTCATCACCGAGCTGAGAAACAACCTTAAGGCCAAGGTTCCGATGATACTCTACCGAATCATGTGGGGCATCCCTTACCAGATCTTCAGTCCTCACACTCGTCATACTGAAGCTCTCCTTTAATGCACGAGCAGCTCTTAGGCCTTCGGATCTAATAATTTCTTGAACAACAAAATGTAGGAGTGTGGTCTTGCCATCAGTTCCTTTCACATCCGAGAGTTTCAAGAGAGTATCGAGCTTAATAGCCTGGGCGCCACCACGGTAAGTCCCAGTATTCATGCGGTTCCCAGTTTTCAGAACAGCTTCAAGAAGTTTCAGGAAGAGTCTGCTGTTTTTAAGCTCGTTACATGCTACCTGCAAGGTTTAGTTTAGTGGAAAAAGTTGCTAAACTTGTAGAAATAGATCAAATATTCAATTTCAATGGAATGGAATAATAACCTCTAAGGTTGTAAAGGACTCTTTAATGTAAGCAATTTCTTCCTGAAGAATGCTCATGAACAACAATGATTCCATCCTTTTGAAGGCAAAGGGTATCTCAATAAGGATTTTGAGAAAGCGGTCAGCAGGGCCAAGAAGAGCAATGTCCCCAGTATATAACCGAAGTTTAAGTTCCTCATCTGCTGTTGGTGCCATCTTCAACAGAGTTTGAACGAGTTCATGTGGTAGCTCATTACCTGTGTCAAATTAAATTACGAAAGAATGAATATACAGTCAACTAACATTTAAAAGTAGAATGAAATCAACATTGTTGAGTATATAACCATTAATGTGCAATCCAACTATCAGCTTAAGCTTTTAGTTGAGATGGAGCATATGCTTCAATTTGGTATCAGAGCCAGACCAAAGGTCATGGGTCGGGGGCGTGTTGAGTATATAACCATTAATGTGCAATCCAACTATTAGCTTAAGCTTTTAGTTGAATTAACATCCATAATTAAAGCAAGAAAATCAGTAGCTATGACCTCTATGGAATCAACATCCATAATTAAAGCAAGAAACTTGTATATATACATACCCTCTTTGAGTGCATCGCAGACTTCCTCTGTTGTCACATTCAAGGCTTTAAGAAGAATAGCTAAGTTTTGTGCCTTCTTAGCATCAATGATCTGAATAAATTGCGAACTAGCCTTTGCAGATTCTTTCTTGCGGTCATTTTTGTTTTGATCTGCTGGAGAATATCCAAACAGTGACTCCATCAGATCCTCATTAAACCTGATCGAATTACACAACTTCAGGAATTTGCATGGCCAAAACAGAATCTTCTTTCAAATATATAGCAAAACAGTAATGTGATCCTTACTGGAATGAGCCCCCTCTTATCTCATGCCAAACCATCGAGGTATTAGGACTCGCATTAACTTTGTCCCAGAAAAATGGCTTTAGTTTGGCTTTCGGAGATTCTCCAGCTTCAGTTCCCTCACTCCCAGAATTATGTCCTTTGTGATTTGGTCCAGGAGGCGGTGCACACTTGGGTCCACCACCTAGCTTAGGTGGAGGAGGAGGGCGAGCCCCTTTTGGAGGTGGAGGGCAATTAGGAGCAGGGGGTTTAGGTGCTGGAGGTCCTGCAGGTACTGGAGGTACTGTAGGCACTGGAGGTCCTGATTGTGGTTCTGGGGGTCCTGATTGTGGTTCTGGTGGTTTTGATGGTTCTGGTGGAGGAGGACTTGGACTAGTGGGTGGAGAAGGAGGTGGAGATTTTCCCGGGGGAAGTGGTAATGCTGCCTGAGATATCACAGGTGCAACTTCTGTAGCTTCTGTAGCTTCGGTAGCCATAGTATTGGTTTCTGATGAAGTTTCGGTTTCAGTTGCAACTGGGAGATTATCAACAATAGGCAAACTCTGGGAATCATTGTTGCCAGGATCTTCTGTGCTCTCAGGATTCTCAGGATTCTCTGGAGAATCTAAACAAATGAAGTAAAAAAAAAAAAAAAAAAAAAAAAAGGTTATATGAGGCTATAAAACAATGTTTGTGAATTGTGATAACATAAAATTCAACCACCATCTTTAACTACCAGCCTCAGCAGCAGCAGGGATATCAGCAGGCGCAACGTTAATGAGAGGTTTTTCATCCTTTGACCCGTCATTGTCATCCATTTCCTTGACAGAGCAAACCAAGAATATAACCACGACGATGAGAAGTGCTGCGAAAGTGACCCCAGCAACAGCAACAACGATAAGTGTGCTGCCCTCATTTCCCGAAGAACTACTTGCAGCTTTCTTTGTCTTCCGAGCAGCAATTAATGAGTTTGGAGTCTCGTTTGGTTCTTCTTCAGACTCACTTTTAGGCTCGGATGAAGAAGAATCAGAGGAGTGAGAGCCAACATCAGCGGCTTCTTCGGATGATCCTTGATCAGAAACCGGTGACTCTGCAGCATGTTCTGGAGATGGAGCCGGGCTATGAGCTTGATCAGACTCTGTATCCACACGCTTGTACTTTTTAAATCTTAGGGATCTCCTCGGCACCCTGGACAAAGTGGAAAGAAAATCTTTGTACTTAATCATCCCAGCCCCGGATACATCATCATCTTTGAGAAGACCATGTAAAATAGAATTATCCATATGAATGTGCTGCTCTCGAGAAAACAAATAGGAAACTGCATCCCATAAACTTCTTTTTGCCAACAAAGTGTAATAAGACTGTATAAAGCTATGATTTCCTTGTGATGGGGTTGGGAAACGAACATCCAAATATGATGGCCCGTCTTCTGAAATCTCTAAGAATTCTTTCTTACACTGATTCCAGAGCTGTGCTGCCTGTATTCAGAAGAAGATAAATCACTAAGAGCGCTGAGTTAATGCAATTCAGACTACCACAACATATTATCTTTCCATCAAGTGTGCAGAAGAAGCACTTTTTTGCACCATATTTAACCCGCATTTCTTGTAACTACAGCAGTTAACTAGCAATTAAACATCGCACAATTGAACTCATAGAATTACGATAATATGATATGAACAGACCACATTTAATTTGCAGCATTGGCAATCATAAATATCAACTACAACAAAACATTGATTTGACCAGACATGTTTTCATCAGTAGTAATATAGAGCTAGTCCACAAAAATCACATACCTTATGTTTGAGTGTCTTTTGAAGATAGAAAGGACCAGCATTGCCCAAATGGCTGCTCGGAAGCTTACAATCTGAATCAATGGCTGCCAAAGCTGTAAGAAAAACTACAGAAACAACGAGCATTACCATGCCCATAGATTCCCAAATTTCTCTTACCCTCCATGTTCCCTTCCCCCTCATTTAATTTGACACGCACACTACAACCCAAAAATCATACGTGATACGTTTCTGGGCATTAACCAATTGTTTCTAGGCATTAACCAATTCTAAGAAACACCCACTGCAAAGAATGAAATTTCCAGCGAACCCAACTCAAAAATTTCTAAAGAAAACCCAGGGAAAACAAAGATTTCTAACGATACATTAAAATGTTTATCCTTAACAATACAAAAGCTGCGAAAATGCGTTTTTTCTTTCAGCCTCCGAGGAAATGTCACCAACAACTTTGGCCTATATTATACACCCAACGTCACAAAAATTCCCAGAATGAATATGCATGTAAATATTTCCCACCAAATCTGCACACATATACATATATTAACCCCAACCCAGGCCGTAAAGCCTTTCGAAGGAAGGGGTCGTTGGAAAAAATTCAAATTCCTTCGGAACTTTTATCAGAATTTGGTATTGGGAGGGAATTTTGCTCGCTGGAATGTATATATTCCTTTCGGAGGCAAAAGAGACAGAAACAGCCAGGGAGATGACAAAATATACGTGCAGAGAACTTAGGTTGTGATACGAGAGACTATGAGACTTTTGATTACTTTAATATCCGCTTTTTCCTTTCAAACATAAACTCACTATTGGGTATTGGCCCTTAAGAGTATTTTTATTTTTCTTCTTTTTTAAAAAATTAATAATTTAGCCGAACTAGCAATTCTTTTGACGATTTATTTTTAGAAGGCAAAAACTTATGTGAAATCGTCTAAGTAATAAAATTTTTATTACTAATTAGTATTACATTTGAACATATAAGTATGACATTTGAGCATATAAATACGACATTTGTGGATAAGTATGACATTTGCATGTTGATTCCATCGGACCCCTCTCACGAATAAACACCCGTGAGACGGTATCAAACAAGTGTGACCCTTTTGTCATAAACAATTAATGTAATGTTATATACAATGTCTATAACAACATGTTCTCAAATTAACTTATGTTATTCTCATTCTTCCTAAATTTTCATGTACAAATAAATATATAAATTAAAAGATGTTATGAAACAAAAGATAAAAGTGAATGTTCAAGATGGGTTTCGAATCCTTAACCTCTTGTACAAAAAGATGAGACTCTTCCCAAATCCCACTAAGCTATTCCAAGTCAAGAGGATGCTAGAGAGGAGCACGAGACCTCAAGCATGAGAAGACATGCTCTTTCTCCAACTCAAGCAACAAGACTAACTTTGAAATCTATCCACTCCATGCAAATTGTATATTTGTTTATTCCAAACCTGATACTATAAATACGTACCCCTCCTCACTCTCTCAGTAAAAGGCACGAATAAAATATATACAAGATTCATCTTCTCATTTCATCTACATTCTACTTTTGTATATATTATTATTAAATTCATAACAAAAGATATGTGATAGTGTATGATGAAGATATAAAGATTATCTTTAAATTTTTAATAGGTGCAAAGGGACTAGTGGATAAAATTATTTGGCATTAATGAATTGGGATGTATTTGAGTTTAAAAATTCAAAGAAAATTTACCTATCTATGATCATTTTAATCAGTGATAATAAAATTTTCAAAGAATTTAAACTAGTCTTTTAAATACGATAGAAAAAAGACAAAATTAAAAGAAACATGAGACAATGCCTTCAACCATGCCTAATTCTCCTAAGAGATCCATAATACTAAAATCACAATTTGCCATATTAAACTTCTAATCGATATGTTATATAAACTAATTTGTGCATTTATTAACCACTCTATAAATGTGAGAACGATAAAGAGCATTTCCAATTTATCTTCAAGAACAATTGCATTGCCTCCAGCCGTCCACCATATGGTGATGCAGCCCATTGCTACACCCCTCAACTTAAATTTTCATGATAGTCAACAACGAGTCATTTTCAACTTTCAACCTCCACTCCAACACACAACCAATTCTTAGTAGATGGTTGATAGCTCAACAATTAAATTTGTGGCAACTCCAAACTTAATTACACTTAAAATTATTGAGTCATTTTCTTTACACATCTCAAATAACTCTGTTCGCAATCATTATATCATGGACCATGGTTCATCTAACAAGTTGGGTCACTAACATAAAATTTATTTTTCATATACTGAGTATTAATTTTTTCATGTTCTAAATTTTATTTTTATGTATGTTACTTAAAAATAAACTTTCAATGTATTAAAATAAATATTTATCTTAGTCTATATTACAATGTGGACCATCAGATGATTCATAGTATAATTTGTTGCCCTTAGCAACAGAAACAATATAATAGTAGGCGTATATTCTAGAAGAACACTTTTCTCTAATTGCTAAGAGAACAAACAAGAACAGTAATAAGTCTTTGAAAGTCTTCAATCCAGTAGACTTATCTTTAATTTTCTACTCTGTATTATTGATCTAAAAATGTTAAATAACCTTGTGCCAATCTTTTGACTTTGTCATCCTATCATGTGAAATCAAATAAAATATTTTATTGCATTTATTTTTTTTTTTGAAAAATTATTGCATTTATTTCAATTCTCTTATTTTCCTTTAATTTGTTTAGTACGGAGTATTAAATTTTTATTTTCTAAAAAAAAATTGAATAAATATACAAATAAACATAGTTTCAATTTTTTAAATTTCTAATTTTTTAGAAAAATAAATCGGTTAGTAAACTCATACATCTATTGTTCTATTTATTCAATTAATCAAAAAATATGAAATATGGGCAGAGAAGGAGAAATAATAAGATTCATATTTTAATTTTTTTTCACACAAATAGAATCAACATAAATATATATCATCAATATTAAGAAGAGTAATACCATATGTATTCACTTTTTACTCCCCATTAGCGTGACATATTATGATTGATTCAAAAAAAGAGACTAACTTTTATATATGTTGTAAATACTGATTTTGCGGTCATTATTCCACTATCCTTTTTATTATTATATTGTTGGTTATATGCATTACTGATCTGATATATAAAGGTGTATGTGCAGTTATCCATAAAAGTTGTGTTCTGGATCTTCTCTTTTTATTTTCTTCATATCTTCGTTCTCTCTGTATTCCCCAGCCCCCTTCTTTATCTTCATATGTACTTTACTTTTGACGTATAATACTGGTAATCACAACGTTACCATCCGGGGAGTCAGAGTTAGAGTAGGCCGAACTTCAACAATTTCCTTAATTTTAATTGTATAATAAAATTAAAATAAATTTACTCCCTTGAAACTAACACTTATCATTTATCATTTTCTTGTCAAGAATAATTCAAAACAAACCGTGTATGGATAATTGCTTGCCGCACCTCCCACGTATTGACTAGGAATAGAATATTGTTTTGTCTCCGTTTACATTTCTTTCCACGGCTACCTTTTCTTTTTGGTTGCTTTTCAATTCGAACCACTAATTTTAAGTTCACACTAATAAATAATAATTCAGTACATAAATTAATTATAAATCCACTTGATCGTCTAGGTCAATAACGCATTCACTGAGACTTAAACACACAAATTCTCATGTAAATATTTAACTTGGTACCATGCATTGAACCACAAAGTCCTTATGGCACATGTTAATTGATGTGAGAAAATGTATTTTATTAACAAAAAAAAAAAAAAGTTGTCGGCATGCACTTAAAAATGAAATAACTAAGAAAGTATTATTATAAATTTATAATTATTATTATTAAGTTTAAATTAGGAGCTTCTTACACGCCGGTGTCGAACTCCACCTCAATCAATGGCGAAAAGGTTAAAAGTGGGTAGGCAATGTGTGTATATATATAGGCGGGTAGTATTATATATAGAAGGTAGTTAACTACAATTCAGAAGATAAGAAATGGAGCATAGCAGCAGCTGGTCGTCCGTCAACCTTTATTCAATCGCCATTCTCATCATTTCTTGCGCTTTCTTCCAATCATCTTACGCAGGTAACTCATTTCTCTTAAATAATACTAATTGTTAGTTCGAACCCGTGACCTAATTTTAATACCATTTGTTAAAATTAAGTGCGTTCACTATTACGTCAAAAGTTATAACTCGTAGTGAGTGCCTAACTTTTTCTTCTTTTACCCCACCACAACATTTTTGATAAACAGAATACTGAACTTGACTTTTTATATATACCTCTGCCCAACAATAACAATGTGCTGATCGACCTAATATGTCTATATATCATTCAACTTTGATCTACTAATCTTGCATTGCATGCATGCAGTGCAAACTTGCTACAGCCAAAGTGTGACCCAGGTTGGCTCTGAAGGTTGGTTCAATACCCTTTTTTTGTTGTTGTAATTACTCTATTAGCTAATATGTTACACGTATAGTACTGTCCACAAATCTTTAATAACACGTACATGGTATGTTACGTCGTTGCAGGTGAACGTGTTACTGAATATTACACGAGTTGTAGTACTGGTCATGGATCAGGCCCGGCTCCTCAATCGGGCGGTAACCCACCAACTCCATCTCATCGTCCAAACGGTCCAATAGTTCCACCCGCTCCGATACTTATTCAACCCCCTCCGATATTTCAACCTGCTCCATTATTTCCACCCGCTCCAATACTTCGACCCGGTCCGCTATTTCCATCTCCTCCAGTATTTCAACCCGGTCCAATATTTCCCCCGCCGACTCCAGCATTTTCAGGTCGCAATTAATCAAATTATATACGTGTATCTTGCATGCATGCATGCAGTGTGGTTGTAATCATGATGAATATGTTCTGTTTATCTTTAGCTATGGATATTATTACGTGCAAAGTATTTGGAAAAATATTGAAGTCTCCTGAAAGAACATTTTCAATTTCTTACGTTTTCATGTTCGATAGAATCTCAAATCATACTCAAGCTAAAAACCTTTCATATTTTGAACACATAATTCTATACAATAAATGTTAAATGTATAATCCAATTGATGGGGGAAATACAAAAGACCGGTCAAGAGGTTTAGTATTTGGCGTCGACCCAAGTGGTTGACCCAAGTCCATTTATATGTCTGAAACAACAAAAGCGTGTTGAATCACTCGTGGAAGGTACAATTGGAGTATCCGATCTAGTTTTGGGAGATTGCTCTGTTCTAGGTATTACTTTCCCTTAGGATCAATTTGTAATTAATGACCCATGATTTATAGGATTGACTTTCCTAATTTAATAATCTTAATGAGTGGAGGGAGCCATATAAATACACAGAAAAAGAATTTGCGATTGTTCGAACCTCGGCGACGGCAGTGTGGAAATTATGTTCAAAGTGGGCAGATTCTTTGTACGCATCGACATTTGGCCCTGTCTACTAACCCATTGAGTCACCGTGATTTACATCCTCCTACATACTCTGTCAGGTCAGAATGTGGGGGGCCCTTAAGGTTGGAGATTCAGCCTTTTGGGGTAAGAAAAAGAGTTTGTCAAGGGTTCACATTCTAAATTCCTATTTTAAAAGAACAATAACATCCGTTATCTAATTCTTGCTAAATTAAAGCTTCTTGATTCTATTTCCAATATGGTGTTTTAGCATTCCATGCATCAACTGCTACATATAGGCCTTGTTTGGTAAAAATGGATTATTTGACCACTATTAATTGTTTGATTTACTTAAAATATTAATATAAGTATTTGGTTAATTAGCTTTTTTCAATTCCAAAATGTTAAAATTCAAAAAGTTATTCCTAGCAACTTTTTCAATTAGCTTTTTGAGAAAAGAAATTATACCAAACAGCTATCAGCTAACAACAAATTTACCAAACACTTTTCTACGTACAACAGCAAATGTTATCAACTAGTTATACCATCTAATTAACACAATCAGCTAATAGCTAATAGCCATTTACCAAATAGGGCCATAATCGTAAAACCAACACCAACAACTATTCTTTCCTTACATTTATGTTGATAGCTAGCTTGATGAGTTTGGATTATATTATCTAGGGGTGGGCGTTTCGGGTTTCGGTTCGTTTTTTTTCGGTTTTAAAAAAGTTAAACCATTCGGTTTAACATTACGGTTCGATTCGGTTTCGGTTTGGTTTGAAACGGTTCGGTGTTCGGTTCTGTTTAAGATCCCCAAATTTCAATATTCCCTAATGTTTCGAACATACTACCAAACAATAAATATTCACATAATTCAAATTCAAACTCTAAGCATTATATAACAAAATAGCAATCCAAAGTTCAAACACAATACTAAGTACTAATTACCAAACATCAGTTAATGTTTTTGCACAACCGACTCTTCAGTTGGTTCAGTTGGAATATTTTTATTGATAAGATGAATAATCATCTATCTGTATAATTGATATTAAAAGAACAAGTGTCAATTACTATATAGTTAATTTTTGGACACAATCTGTCATTGTTAGTGCACTCGAAATATATTCCAGTACTAGAAAGTAATTATAGTGCACTGAAAATCAAAATTAGAATGATTGTAAAGCACATTAAATTTATAGAAAAACACAAAACTAAGAAAAATACTGAATATTGCAAATATAACTCAAGTTATATATATTTTTTTTGAAAATAACTCAAGTTATATATAATTGTGAGGTAAAGAACAATTGCGACAAACAACAAAAGTGCAATGTAGAAAACAAGTTATTAAGAAATCAAATAAAAAATTTAAGGTTCGGTACCAGTAAGAATGAGAACTGAACGGCGGAGCAGGCATCAAGGAACTTGGATTTACTTCTTTATTATTATTATTATTATTATTATTATTATTATTATTATTATTATTATTATTATAACATTCGGTCCGGTTCGGTTTTTGCCAAACCGTTCGGTTTCGGTTCGATTCGGTACTAAACTGTTCGGGTTACAAAATTCCGAACCATTCGATTTTCTATTACTAGTTCGGTTTGATTTGGTTCGGTTCAGATCGATTTGGTTCGGATAAATCGAACCAAAATGCCCACCCCTATTATTATCAATTCCATTCACATTAAGCTGCTTCATTTACAAGATTATGAGCCCTTGCTACAAATTAAACGAAATATGAATGAATAGAGTAAATGATGAAAATGAGTATGTCACAGTGTCACACTCAGTCTTCTTTATTTTAGCCTTTCCACAATTCGAAACGACTTTGGCACCGGCCGAAAAGTTAACAGTGCATATTGGTTGGCTTCACTCTGGCCTGGTAGGGACGCAACTGGCATTTTGGATTCATGCAATGCGCCATGCGCCCGGTGACGGACTGGTTCTTGCCGGGTCTCCCACGCCGCCACGCATTATCCTTTGAAGTAAACTCGGTGAAATTACAAAAGTTCATGGAAGAAAAAAAAATTATTTCATTAACATATAAGCATTTTCTTTAATTTTTATCCTAAATTTATAAGAATTTATTTACAACTTTTTGTTAAAAATAATAAAAAAAAGAATTAGTTCCTAGCTTAGTTTAGTCTTTAACAGTGATACTCAGACAAAAGGGCAAAGTGCTGGGAGGTGTCCTGAGCAGACCCTAACTGTAGGAGGCACCTTTAAGTCCGTACCATACTCAGACAATAGTTATGCCGTGCAACCGAATGTACCATGCGCATGGTGCATACGATGCAAAACGACGCCGTTTTGACTAAAAACGCGCGTCCCACTTTTTTTTAAAAAAATTCAGGTTCGATTCTCTGCAATAGTATTATTGTGGATATATAGTTATGAATTTTCGGATATATAATTATAAATTTGTGGATATATAGTTATGAATTTATGGATATTTAGTTCATTCATTGTGGATATTTAGTTCATTCATTGTAGATATTTACTTCATTCATTCACTGTGGATATATAGTTATGAATTTATGGATATATAGTTATGAATTTATGGATATTTAGTTCAATCATTGTGGATATTTAGTTCAATCATTGTGGATATTTAGTTCATTCATTTATTGTGGATTTTTACTTCATTCATTAATTCATTCACTATGGATATATAGTTATGAATTTGTTGATATATAGTTATGAATTTCTGAATATATAGTTATGAATTTCTGGATATATAAAAATGCTATTGCCGGGAATCGAACCTGATTTCTTCTTTAAGTGGGACGCGCGTTTTTTTAACCAAAACGGCGTCGTTTTGCAACCGTATGCACCTAGCAAGATGCATTCGGTTGCACAACATAATTTGCGATACTCAGAGTAATCTATGTTCGCATCAGGCCGGCCCAATTAAGGGACAAAGTGTTGGTCAGATTGGTCGATTTCTCTTTAAGGGACAAGAGTGCACGGTCACTCACACCAATCAAGCTGGTTAAAAAACATGTTAATTGAATAACTTGAACGTGTCAAACGACTATACAGTGCTATACTTAGACCGCAATGTCACTTATTACAAACACTCTAATTGTCTCTAGCAGAAATACATTATTTATTAGTTATGGATCGTTGAAAATTAAGACAATAACAATAAATGAACTACACTGGCAGATCTCAGAAGCATTGCATCAATTCTAACCCAAACAACAATTACACAACAGTACAAACAAATCTAAAGTTGCAGTGTTACATTTTTCATACGGACATTTTAATCATTTATTGTAAGAAATTGACTGTACTGTAGGAACTTTAATTACGAAATAAATAAATTCCTCAAAATAATTTGTAGAAAAAAAGACATAAATAATTCATTGAATTTATGCTAGGAAATTCTCTCAAAAAGGGTTAACCAAAGCACATGTAACACAAACTTGCCTTAAAATTGGTTTGCTTTTCCCAATGATGTTAGGAGCCTTGAAGCATCAATTTCGCAGAATATAATTTTCACTACGAAAATATTTGACCACTCAAAAGTTAAGAGTTTAATGTGTTCGAACAAACACTTGGGGAGCCCGAATCGCGGGTGCACACAAATTCAAGTTTTTGAAACTTATTTTGGAATTTAATTTTCACCCAATATTATCTTAATATGACAACTTTATGTGTTATTTTTGTTAAATTTTTTCAACATTAACGAGAACTAAATTTAGCCCCATTCGAGAATCCAATGACTTATGTTTTATTATGTGTAATATTACAATTGTAAAATAAGTATGCAATATAATTACCAACCAATCATATATGTGTGTTTACTCAAGAATTTTCTATTCTTCAACCCCCCACCCCAAAAAAAAAAAAAAAAAAATTAAAAAAAAATTAAAAAAAAAATTAAAAAAAAAAAGAAAAATAAATGAAGTAAATTATACTTCTCGTTAGTCATATACAGTTCAATCTAGGCACTTCTTGTATGCTTCGCTGGAGTACGTCAATCTCCGCCACAATCAGTGGGGGAGAGGTGGAAAAGTACAACTGTTTAGGCAATGTGTGTCGTATATATATACCTACAAACATTATATCACACATCGAACATATATAGTTTAATGAAGCAGAAGAGAAATGGAGCATAACGGCATATCATCATCGTTGGTGGTTCTACGCAGAATCCTGTTGTGTGCCATCATCGTCCTCATCGTTACTTGTAGTTTTCTCCAATCATCCTATGCAGGTAAGTGTTGTCGTTGTTCAACCATATTTAATTAACCATTTAACCTTAATTCTAAAAGGCAATAATATATTAAATTGGGACACCAAACCCATCCAAATTGGTCAAATTATTGGCTAATAACCACAAGATTCTAATTGTGGTCTTGACTAAGATCACAAGACAGAATTTAGTAGTTGCAGCCTGGATTTCCTGGTCACTGAAAAAAAATCTAATTAAATTTTATGATCATCATCGGCCTTCAACTTTATACTAGCTAGTGCTCTTGCATGCAGTACGTCCATGCTACTCCAAACAAATGTCGACGACGACGGTGACCGTTTGTAATGACGATTATGGTTGGTATCAATTAATAGTTTGTGGTTAATTTTTGAATGATTATAGATAGGTAGGTCGTTGGTTTGTGGTGTTATGTGTGCATGGATATGTTTATTTTGCAGGTGAGGATTGCCGCACTGAATACTACTACACAAGCTGTAATCATAGATCAGATCCATCTCCTCGTGCGGGTGCTCCGCCTACTCCTTTTTGGCGAGGCAATAATGTTCCAATATTTCGACTTCCGCCACCAATATTTCTTCGCGGTCCAATGTTTCCCCATGCTCCAGAATTTCCAGGCGGTAATTAATTCATAAAGGAAGCTACGAACGAAGCAACTCCTTTAGCTCTTACCCCACTCCTAGGAGGACGAGAAGAAGAAGAAAAATCAGGTGTTACTATCATGTGATTGTGATAAGTATGATCTAGATGCCTCTTCTATCTATGGCTATCACATTAATTATTTAATTTAACAAATGAATAATCCCATATGTTAGTTTGAGTTTGAATTGGTAATGAATGCTTATATATTTCATCTGTTGGAAAAATCTTGTCACTACACTTTCAACATACCATTATAAGTTGAACGGTCAAAAGATACTTGGAGAATGAAAGTAGAAAAACCTAACAACAAAATAAATACAAAGAAGGCTTTGAGTAGCTTAGGACTACTAAAGATAAGAATAATATGAAATTCAAATTATTCGTTCCGGTTCAAGGTGTACTAAGTCAGGTATTTGTTACAACACAGATCAGAATCAAACTGTCATAACCAACTGTGATGTTATCTTGACCGTTGAAGCTATGAGTAGGTTTTGCTAAGCTTTTGACTTAGTAAACAGATTTTTTTTTTTTTTTTTTAATTCAACACAATTGTTATTGTGTGACTAAACTAATTGGTCATTCCATCGACTTCCAAGCTTTAAGAGTTGATATCATTTTCCTTAATAATCATACTTCAAAAAAAGTGATGAGTTTGATTGAGTATAAATGCAATCGCTCTTAAAGTAATGCTTCATTTCACCAAACAATGGCATTTGTTATCCCTTTCACTTACTTCACATGCGATTTCTTTGAAAACAAATTGCTACAATTGGTTGTTGTCGGGGATGTAGCTCAGACGGTAGAGCGCTCGCTTAGCATGCGAGAGGTATGGGGATCAATACCTCACATCTCCAATTCTCCTTTGTGTTTAATGCTCATTGTAGAGCACTCACATAGCATGCAAGAACTAGGGGGATTGATACCCCGCATTTGTAATTCTCTTTTTAAAAGTTTCGTTTAGCATGCGAGAAGTACGGGGATTGATACCCCGCACTTGTAAGCAGTTTGCAATTCATTGTCCGGCTACTGTTTGAGTTTTGCTCATGTTCTTCGCAATTATAATTGTTTTGGGGATGTAGCTCATATGAAAGAACGCTCGCTTAGCATGTGAGAGGTACGGGGTACGGGGATCAATACCCTGCATTGCACTTTTCTTTTTAAAAATTTTTATTGGTAGCTTAAATGTACTTTTCTTTTTAAAATTTTTTATTGGTTGCTATTTGTTGAAATTAGCCGGGGTTTATTGTGATTTGAGGGGATATGATATATTTTTCTTGCATTCTCAAAATAATATGCATCATTTATACTTCCACAATTGCGATGTTATCCAATCCTTAATTGCAATCTGCAACTCATTTAATGTGATGGGATCACTGTCCGAATACTATTTGAATTTTTTTGTTTTTTCGCAATCATGATTGATATGGGGATGTAGCTCAGATGGTAGAGCGCTCGCTTAGCATGCGAGAGGTACGGGGATCGATACCCCGCATCTCCAAATTTTGAAATCCGGAACTTTGAGTTTTGGTGTTTGGTGTTCGGTTTCTTCAAATCATGGCAACAAGGACTAACCCAGGCAGAGATAATAATGAAAAATGGAGCTTTTCTAGTGTATACTACTTCTACTTTGATGCCAAGGTGGGGAAACCTTTGTTTCATTCACAATAGTGGAATTTAGTTATATACATTGACACATGAAAACTGTGTGTACCACATCCTAATTCTCACAAAGTTGATGGCTTTCCATGCTATTCAGCTTTGTCTAAAGAATAAATTCTGAAGCAGATTGTCCAGCAAATCAGCCAATGCACCACCCACACTCATATCTGTTTGAGCATCCCATTTGAATGGCTTTGTTGGTTTGGTTGCTTCAACTAATTCATCAATCGAAATCTCCGGTTTTGATCTCTTCAGGGGAGTGGGCTTCACATACTCTGGACAGTAATCCTGCAAATTAAATTCCAACATCAAAGCTACCTTTTTGTTCCCATTTTCTTCATGAAATCCTTGACAGAAATCACGAGACTGGGGCTTACCAGATCAGCATGCATTTTGTTCACAAACGTTTTAAAGATTCTGAAGTTGCTCCGGTGAAGAAGTTCATCAGATAAACGAAGGTAAGTCACTCCAGACAACTTCAGCTTTGGTGGACCATTTTTGTTAACACCATTTGGCCGAGAATTAAGAAGGATTTGGTTATATGCTGGGCGATCGTATCTGGACAATGCATTTTCACCTGCAACCTCAATGCATTCTTTCCAGCCAGCACTCAGAACCTGCAAATAAGTAGGCAAAAAGGTGAAAACAATTAAGACTGATATGGTAAAGTGAAAACATATATGCTTTGGTTAACCTGCTGAACTAGTTGTTGTGGCCCGCTCTTGGCATTTTCTGGATGTTCGTCGTTTCTCATCTCAAGACAAGTGAAATTCAAAATGGCATAATGCCTTGCCATCATCCTTGCTATGGGATGATACCCATCTCTTCCATCCAAGTTGTAGTATCCTGCAGTGAGCTCTGCAGCATGGGTGCCATCTTTATACCACCAATGGATACCTGATACCTGAACAATAATCTAATCATCATTTATGGAAACATGGTAATCAAATTGTGGTAATCAAATTAAAGATTTACTTTGGCTGCTAGCTTGGTTCTGCAGCCTAAGAAGGCTTTGTTGGCTTCATCGAGTATTTGATCACCGTGAAGCAGTATCTTGTTAGAGTACCAGGTCAAGAAGAACTTCCCTTTCTCTGTAAGGTATGTCCCATTTGCTCCAAAAAACCCCGTTTTTACTGGTGTGTCGTTATACGTTCCTGCATCATCTGGAACATCCCATTCCGGATGCCCTGCTTCCATTGCAGCCTCTTTAAAATCTGCTCTCAGATACTTATCATAGCACTGCAATGCATTGCATATCAAGTAAATCATCTACAGACTACACTTAGCTGCAAATTAAGCAATTAACTAACCTGAAATTCTCCGATACCAGGGAATTCCCAACCTTGATTCTCTTGGTAGGATGGATATCTAAGCTCTCCAGCAGGACCAAGCCCTACCTCAATATCTATTATGCTTCCACTTTCCAGAAAGTCTGCCATGGTTTCTCGGAAGCTCTTCATAAAGTCACTATACACCTAATTAAGCATGTCCAAAAATTATTATAATTCAAACCTACGAGTATATATAGCAGGAAGGATTAATAATTACCTGTACAGCAGTTCGAGCTTGGAAGAGAGGCAGGTTATCGACACCGAGTGATAGGTACTCCTTATCTCGGTTACCTGCCCGGTTAGTATAGAAGATATCTGGATCTTTTTCTCCAACTGCAAGTACCCATTTGGGAAGTGGAATGAAAACAGAATCTCCTATGTTGCCACCACATTGGTGGAATGACATAATAGCTTGAATTTTAAGTCCACATTTTTGAACTAGTTTGAACAGTGTCCTATAGGCTGACCAATTATAGTTCTTGGGGCCAAGCCCCTCTACAATTCCCCACCAGACATCCACCATTACCCCATCAACTCCACCTGCTCTTAACTCCTTCAGTTGCATTACAATCTTGTTTTGGTTCGGGAAGACGTTGTCAACAGTAATGATGTCCAACTGTTAAGTTTATCACCGCCACAGTTCAGGATGAGAGAATGAAAAACGTGGAATTAAGAAGCATAGTTTATGAAAATTTTCATTTAAATCGACTTAATTACCTGAAGCATTACATAAACAGGCACATAGTTCTCCAGTGGGAGCTTGCTGCTGCCTCTTGTAGCCATTCTCTGAGTAAAAAGAGTGATCAAAAGGAAGTCTTTAGTCTTGGTCTTGTTAGAAAAATGATTGGTAACACAAAAATTGGAACATTGCAGCAATATGCACAGAAACAAGGAACAACTAACAACTTAAAAGAACAGAAAAAAGAAGGGCAATATAATGTTACCTCTTCTGTAGTTGAAGCTTTGGCTCCAGCCAATATTGAGGTTCTGCGAGAACTTAGGCTAGTGTTAGGCCAGAGAAGAAGGTTGTATCTTTCAGGCATGGTTGGGGGGAAGGGGCAGTACTGCTTAAATAGCATGTTCTTGTTAGGGAAAGAGTTGAGCTCTGAGAAAACAATACTTGACATGGTGGATTATATTATTGTTTAAGAAAAGCTGATTGTAAAGTGGTGTGTTGAGGCCATGCATGAATATATATAGAGCATTGCAAAATGAAGAAGACGAACCAAAGTTTAGAGTAAAGACAGGCATGATGATGTAGAAATAATAAAATAATTTGTTGTTGTGCTACTTATAATTTATGGATCGAGAGATTTAGTGATGGAGAAATGGAGTGATCTAGCCGCCACTGGAAGAGATGACAGCGAGTTCTGAAACTCACGGTGGCTTCTTATTTTGCTGAGGATTGAAGCTTTCATGTACACAAATAATTTATCACCCAAAAAATAAAAATAAAATTCGTATTTGTTTTCTTGGATTGTGACTTGTTGGGGAGATTGTATGCAAATTATGCTCTGGACCCGTGTCCACAACACGGGCCCAAAACGACGTCGTTTTAAAAAAAAAAAAACGCGTCATTTAGTTAAAAATAAAAAATAAAAAAGTTTGCGTGCGTTTTGCCGTTAACGGTGTTATTTTTTTTTGGATTATGAATGTACAGTTATGCCGTTATGAATGTACAGTTATGCAATTATGAAATTATGAACACAAAGCTCTAACATTATGAACTTACAATTATGAACATATATAGTGATAAAATTATGACCATGGAGCTTTAAAATTGTGAATATAGAGCTTCGAAGATTATGAATGTACAGTTATGGAGTTATGAATGTACAGTTATAGAGTTATGAATCTACAGTTATGGAGTTATGAATCTACAGTTATGAGATTATGAATCTACAGTATGGAATTATAATGTACAGTTATTGATCGAATTATGAACAAAGAGCTCTAACATTATGAACTTACAATTATGAACATATAGTGATAAAATTATGAACATAGAGCTCTAAAATTGTGAACATAGAGCTTCGAAAATTATGAATGTACAGTTATGGAGTTATGAATGTACAGTTATGGAGTTATGAATGTACAATTATAGAGTTATGAACGTACAGTTATGGAGTTATGAATGTACAGTTATTAACATATAGTAATAAAATTATGAACATATACTCCTATAACGAAGCGGTCTGAAATTTTTTTTTTTAAAAAAAAAGAGGAAATAACAGTGCCTAACGGCACTGTTATCCGTGTCCAGCAAGCATGCTGGACACGGGTCCAACGCATAACGATTGGAGATTGTAGATGTGGGTTTTTTTGAGTTTAGCCAACTCAAGCCCATCCAAAACTTGGGCTTCAATTCTGGCTTGCCTATTTGATAATTGTTCAATTTATTAATTTCAGAAAATAAAGATGTTGCATTTTTTACATGAGGAATTATATATGTTAGCATTAGAAATACAACAAAGAAAATAAAAAAGATGAGTACCAATTTATAGGGGTAATACTACTCCATTTTGTACTCCTTACTTACGTTTGATTCATTCCTTAAAAAAATCAAAATTTTTATTACTTTTTTTTATAAATAAAATCATGACATGTGACAGTAGTTTTATTCAATGGAATCTGTATATCATTTTCCTTATAAAAGTATATTGAAGAAAAATATAGTCAAATAAGACTTTGTCATTTATTAGATGACTTACGTTAATTGGATGAAAGATTTTTTTTTTTTTTTATAAGAAAAGTGAAATTGAACCAAAAATAAATTAATAGAGAGTGAGAACAAAAATAGAGGTACAGGTGGGTACGTGTACATCTACTAATAATATTGAATGAAACGACCGAATGACTGACAAAGCCATTTGCCAGCTTCATACCTTCATAGGATGGACCATTAATATTGCCATGGCAGACAACACTGTCAGCCTAGCTTTTCTATTACCCGTACCCTCTCAACACCACAGTTATTCCCCAATCATTTTGCTTTTTTTTTTTTATACCAAAATTATATAATCTGATCAAGAATAAATCAGTGACAAAATAAGTAAAACATTATTCTTCTTTTCAAATAAATTTGATTGTATTAACACTTTTTCGGTTGAGTAATTAAGGATAATGGGCACAATTTGGGATAAGAAGTAAAAAGATTTTAACTTTTTTCCCGGATAGTGTTCACATGCTACATTGCGTGATTGCCACCTTCGCCAACCAACCAGAAAAGAAGCCCACTCATTTCCCCCATACCTCACCCACACTAACCATGAGATGAAAAAGAAAGAGTGAAAGGAAGAGCATATCAACACAGAGACAAAAAGCAGAAACAGAAGATACTATAGATCAGTGAGCTGGAAAACCCGTCATTTCTGAACCCCGTCCGTTGGTACTTCTCTCAGATTTTTTTTTTTTTTTTTTTTTAAAGAAAGTGTAACGATGATGTGTTACATAGGGAAAGCGACGAAGATCTTCATCTTCATAGTCACGGTTCTGGTGGTTACTGGGCTTGTCTTGGGATTCGGGCTCCTTCGCCATCGTACTCACAAGGAAAGCAACAAAACTTGCTACGGCGATTCCTGCAATCCGGACCCCCAAGCTTCTCCCATTGTTATCCCCAATCCAAGCCCTACTGCCCCACCAACCACCGTCTCCCCCAATCCCATTACGCAGCTGCCGCCGCCGCCGCCGCCTAGCCCGGACATTCCTAATTCACCTCCTCCTCCGCCGCCTCAGTTACCGGATACCCAACCGCCGCCGCCTCAACCGCAGGACACGCAACCGCCGCCGCCCCTGCCTCCTGCCGTATCGGCTCCGCCGCCAACATTGAGTCCTCCCAGCGCAGCACTGGTGGCCTCAGGTCCGGTCCATTCTTAGCTAGCTAGTCCTTGGAATATTGCAATTTTTTCTATTGATCCATTGGTTTTTTGCATTTTTTTCAATTTTCCCCCTTTCATGTTTTCCCTATTGTAATTTGGATGAGCCTCTCCAGGATCTGTATAGAGAAATTGCAAATCTCTAAACTTTGATTTCCCCTTTTTTTTTTTTTTTTAATTCTTCTATTTTTCAATTACAATTTACAAGTATCCCATTCGAATTATATAAATTTTGCATTATTAATAATTAATAATATTATTAAATCCTAAAATCAATGCATTAGTATATTTATTTATTAGTAGGAAAAATACCAAAAGCACAAGGGGATTTTAATTTAGAAAAAAAAATGAATTCTCACAAATTTCAGTTTGATACCAACCACTATTAAATTTAACACTCACATTTTTATTAAAAATTGGTTCATTTTTAAAAATTTGTTTTAGGGTGCTAAGAGCCTTAAAATGTCAATTTTTCATAATATAATAGATTCCGACCAGTATATTTTAGTATTCAAATATATTATTTTTAAATAACTTGAACAAAGAAACACTCCGTAATTTATATATGAAATGTTTGCAGAATTTCGTTTAAGAAAAAATAGAGAGATTTTGTATGGAGAAGAAAATCATAATTTGAGGCATGAGAAAACATTTTGTCCAACCTAAGGTATTTATATGAGAACTGAAATTCATTAATTATAATGGCATTGACAATTGAATTGTCAATTTTTAAAAATTTCAATGTTAATAATCAGTTTCAAAATTAATTCTGATTAAATTAAAAATTAGACATAAGTATATATGTAAACATGTTGTGTATATATTAACACATTGTGATGTATCACCATAAGGTGTTGATTTTGACATGAATATAATAACTGAGTGTAATATGATTTTCAGAATTTTTTTGAGTTATAATGTTTGCATTATTAAGTAGTGATTGCAAAAAAAAATTCATCACTCAAAAAATATATATGAAATTAATCCAAGAGTAATAAAAGAAAATAAAAAAAAATTAATCAAAAGAGATAGTACTTTTAATATAATTTATTTATGTCTTTAAACTTAATTCGACATCAATAGTTTCGGAGAGAGGAGTACAAAAACTTTTTTGGTGATACTGGGAATGTGTAGTGCAGGACTGGGAAAGACGTAGTCAAACGTTGGGAAACGTAGTCAAACATCCACGTAGGAATAGCCAAGCACTGGTCACGGGTCATTTGGATCCCCATTTTAACGTTTTTAATAACACATTAACGTTTAGAGAATGTAGTGTGCAACCCATTTCCAGACCACCAAGGACTGCTCTATCTCACTACTAACATTTTTTTGTATCTGTTACAGCTTTTTACCTTTTTAAAGGTTTAAAAAGGATTAGTGTAAAGTAAAATATATTTAAAATATTAGAGATTGTAGTCACCCAATGATAGACTTCATTTCTTTAACTAACCCTTAATTATACTAAGAGGACATTTAAGAATATCGCTCGGGGCCAATAGCTAACATGTTGTGTATGAGAAGGAAAAACGTTTTGTATATTCAACATGTTTACACAAAACAAATTAAAGTAGTTATTTTTATATTTTATTTTTGCCAACTACTCTATCCGTCACTTTTATGGATTTAGAGTAATTGAGACTTCCTTGTCATCTCTTTCATAGATTCTTCAAGACGATTTTATACACAGTTCAAACCTAAGAAGAAGATTTTATTGCTTTGTTGGTTTCACAGCTACATAGTAATCGGTCGGCGGGCCAACACAACCGTAAAAAAAAATAAAGAAACGTTGGGACAGCAAATGAGCAATTGTTGCTAGAAGATCATAATTGGAACCCCTTACATTGTGACTCCAGGGGTATTTATATATGCTTAAGTTGTAGAGAGAGCTTAATAAATTTGAGCTTTGAAAACTTACTTAAACTAATTTAAGCCTTGTTAGGAATTAGACATTTCTGACGCTGGGAATCGTGATTCACCCGCCTTCTGCCAACTGCCTACCATCTTCACTCGACCGCCTAGTTAGGACTCCTGATTGGATAGCCTATTTGAGCAGCCCGACTGGGTACCCTACCTGAGTATCCAACATCTATCTCTTCAATCCTTTTATTCTTATTTATGTCAAAATAGGAAACCAAACTCCTATCCTATTTTCGGTACACATTGGGAAACAATACAGCCGGTGCACTCAACACTCAACATTTATTTTCTTATTCTTTTTTCCAACTAGGCATCTTTTATTCATACGGATTACGGAGTGTATAATTATTTTTTATTCATTAAACAATTTTTCTAATGAATAAATCTATTTTATTTTTGTGGCTATTTTCTTGGATCGAAGATGAATATGACGTCCTCGGCTATATAAAATTTCCAGAAACGGCATGGAGCAGGCTGCCTCTGTGTTTATAAAGACGGAGTAATTAAGAAAATAAAATTTAAAAAGAAAATGCTGATGTAAGCACTATATTCTACTCCAGAGCGTTTACTTTTGGACCGCCACTCTTATTAATGTGGCCGTCAAATTTCCGCCGGCCATTTCAAACACACCGTACATCTCAGTACCCCGGAGAAAGAATTCAAGAAACGCCATGGAAACCGATTCCAACTGGCTTATTGACTATGAAATGATGGACGATATCTCCTCCGCCGTCTCCGCCACCGCTAGCTTCCCGTCGTCGGCCACCATTGACTTCAGCTGGGTTTCTCAAACCGTCAACTATTCCTCCACTGCAACGTGAGTGTTATTACTTGCACTGCCTCTTAGAAACCATTTTCTTTCTCAAGTATCTATCTAAGCGATCACAGAAATATATGAACTCGTAAATTAGTAACTTGCTTCAGTTGATATTAAAGAGTCAGTAAAGCTGACAACTTTAGGTGGTATTGTGAATTGGGCTGCCAAAAGTTTCATCTTTTTATAGATTTTGTTAAAGGGGTACGGTGTTCTTTTCTGATGACTCTGCAATCTATTTCAGAGGGTCAACTGCCTGCCAATTTGAGGATACTGAAGTGTGTAAAGAGGCAGGGTCACGAAAACGGTATTTAAATTAATAAAGTACCTTCAATTCTTTTGAGTCTGTCTTAGGTAATTAACAGCTGAATATATCATATCGTCTGTAATTGCATAGTACGTACTATGATGTTCTTCGATCTTGCAAGAAATAGGAAAAAGAACAAGATTGAAAGATTGTAGCTTCTAATTGGTTTTTATCACACTGAGTTCTATCATCATTAATATTGTGGCCGGGCTGGATTGTTGGCCTGGTGTCTCTTTTATGCTTTCTTATATATATATTCAGGTTAAAGTTAGAGACATGCATCCCATCTGGAAGCAAGGCATGTCGGGAGAAAATGCGGAGGGACCTAATTAATGAGAGGTAGGTACGTATGGTACAATATAATCTCTGTCTCTGATCTGATCTTAGATTGTATCTTGCAAACTAACATGCACAGACTACACATACATAATGCTCTCTAATGCCATATATATATATGCTTCAATAATCCATATCTCATTTATGTATGTGGTGAATAAATTTAAGGTTCCTAGAATTGAGTTCCATCCTTGAGCCTACAAGGCCGCCAAAAACAGACAAGATTGCCATACTGAGTGGGGCTGTTCGCGTTGTGACTTCACTACGAACTGAAATCGAGAAGCTGAAGGAGTCGAATTTGGAGCTGGTGGAGAAAATTCATGAATTAAAGGTGGACTACTTAGCTTGTTATCCAACTACATATCAGATGATCAGATTTGTAGGGAAACATATATATCATAGTCTTTTGCATTTTGGATCAGGCAGAGAAAATGGAGCTCCGTGATGAGAAGCAAAAGCTGAAGGAAGATAAGATGAAACTGGAGCAGCAAGTTAATGGCGCCGCCATGTTTGCAAAGCCTGCAAGCTTCTCTCATCCAATCTTAAACTTGGAAGGGCAAGTCGCGGCTGGGAAGAAGATGATGCCTGTTGTTGGGTACCCTGGCTTTGCCATGTGGCAGTTTATGCAACCCACCATTGTTGACACTTCCCAGGATCATGTGCTCCATCCTCCAGTTGCATAAGTCTTTGGAGTCCCGGCCTATCCATCTTGCGCTCGATGGAATATATATGTTTTAAGTTATTTTAAATACTCCGTATAGTAATAATATCACCATCTATTGAGAACAAACTATTTGATGGTGTGGTGTTTGTGTGAACGTACTACTTGATCCCGTGGATCTGTTTGTCAGGCCTGTGGTTTTTTGTTTTTCTGGCTTTCTGCAGTGATGAGTTATGGATGGAGACTCATATCTTTTATCTTCTGATTTTAATTTGAGCAATCTTAGCTTATGTTTTCTCAACGTTATATTTTTGGGTATGCATAATAATCCGGATCTATCTGTAGGAAATTAATTAAGTGGATAGGGAAGATCAGATCAGATGAGATGAATGTGGAATTAAAATGGAAGCAAAAGTTTAAACCATCACTCAGGATAAGCAGTCATGCATAATCGAGAATGAACAGTACAACATTCATCTGTAATGGAGACCAATTAATTTGTGTATAGTAAAATTAAATTAAAGCCTAAGGATCGGAGCCAGCATGAAGAAGATAAAGGCGAAGGCCGCAGCAACGACATTGACTTTGTTGGCCGATGACGGTAGAGGAGGCGGCAGCTGAGATTCACGATCACCGCCGGCAGGAGCAGGAGAAATCGTCCCTGGGAAATCCAGAGCCGGCGGTGATGCTGCTGCAGCAGCGGTTGAAGGGTCTTCCGCTACCGGTGACAGGGCAGCTGGGCTTTCTGCAGTTGCCTTGGACGGTGCTGCCGCAGGCAGTGCAGGGGCTATTTCCAGCGCCGGAGAATTAACCGGAGCAGCGACAGGGGCGGTGGCGGAAGGCGTTGATGGTGATGGAGCGGGTGATGATGGGGTTGTAGAAACTGCTGCTGGCGGCGGAGCAGCCGCGGCGAGGACATTGACTTGGAGTTTCATTCCCATGGAACAATGTCCCATCGTTCCACATATGAAGTATCTCTTGCCGGCGGCGGTAAGAGGCACAACGGAATTACCGCCGGAATTAGTTGACAGCGGGTTTGCTGACGTGCAGGAATCGTAGTCAGCCTTGGAAACTTCATTCACATCATGCATCGGTGAATACGTAAAGACTTCAATTTGATCAAGACAACAAAACACCAACAAAAAAAAAAAAAAACATTCATTTTAGTACAGTTGCCAATGCAACAACATACATGTTAAAGAACGAACGAAAGAACTTACTGAGATTATCTCCGACCATAAATGTTTCCGATGATGCCCAAGATTGGAGATTGGTAGATGTATCCCATCCACCATTTGGACCACCCACAGTGTGATTTGCTGCCATGGCTGATCCAACCACCATGCTTATTAAAGCCACACTCATCATCAATGTTCTCACCATTAATGCCATTTTAGGATCTGTATGTATGTTTTCTAGACCGCAAAATATCTCTAAATTTGCTTCTTAATTAGGCTCTGATCTCTTTTAGACTTAGGTTTGGTTTATGGCAATGTCTCCTATTTATATGTACGCCAAAGAATATTGTATGTGTATAAAAATTGTATATTTCCATGGGAGTTGCAGAGTATTATAGAAATATGCATATTGCATAGGTTTTGGTTGGTTCATGGAAGGCATGTCCTGGAGAAGACTTTTTCGTGGAGATGGTCACCATAACTCACCTAATCATTATAGCCAACCACAACTACTTGAATATATTTAAATAAAAAAAGGGGGGAAATTTTAATGCCACTTGAAAAGTCCTCCGTATCATGCATGTGACTCTGTGATTAATATTTACTAATCACATGGCTGAGACTAATTAGAAGGGTTAAAATATCTCAATTCCAACTATCTGTTTTTTTTTTTTTTTTCAACAATTAGTTTTGTAATTACAAGATTTCAAGGTTAACTCTGTGTAAGAGTTGTTTATTGACCTTCTTGATTTGAATTAGTCAACTATAAACCACTTATGCTGGTTTACCCCATTGTAATCCTTTCTCAACTAGGGTCAGAAGGCAAACTTCACAAAAACACACATTTAGATAAAGGTTGTGGGCTTTACCATAAATCAAAAGAATATCTCATTTTTATTATTTGGACCAAGAGTCACCATCGGTTATTAAAAAAAAAAAAAAAAAAAAAAACTTAAATTTGTCCCAAAATGGGTGGCTGAGTGGAGGCATCATGATTCTTGTACCCGACAATCACAACTTCAATTATTGCAAACACACTCTTTGTTGAACCCGCCACACTACTCGAACAAGCTAGGTCTCTGTCGTACAAGATCTTCATAGGGGCCTGGGCTTATCCAGCACATATCTTCGGATGTAATTTCTCTCGTTTTCAAAAAAAAAAAAAAAAAAAACTTTTGGATATACCGAAAGATTTGTTAAAATTGATATGATAATAAGTATATATAGTTGCGGTAGTTGGGACTGAAATATTGCAGTTGATAGTAGTTAGAAATGAAGTTCATCGAAGTATGTTTTCCATCTTATAATTTTGTAAATCCTGGTGGAATGGGAATGGGTGGGTTTGGTGTTTTAGTTGAGCATCATCATATATGTATTCCATCTTCAATTGGCCTTGGGTTCTTAGTAGGTTATCTTAATATTTGCACCACTTTTTTTTGCTTTAAAAAAAAAAAAAAAAAGAGTGATACAAATTTTTTGTCCTGAGCAGACCCTATATGTAGGAGGCACACCATACTCACGGGTTTGGCCAGATTGATTTTTCCATACAAAAGGTTTCAAACTCCCAACATCTCTAAGGGACAATAGTGCATGATCATTCACGCCAATCAAGCTGATTATGTATCCAAAATTCGAATGCATTGTATATTTATCTAACAATGTCTTTGGTAGAATTGTCTTAAATAAGATATGATTAAAATTTGATTGAATTAATTTATTTCACAAAATACAAATACCAATACCAATATAGTATAAAAGAAAAGTTAATTAAAGTCGTAATTAAATTTGCATCGAATACATACCACATTTTCTAAGTTGGTATTACAAAATACTCCGTAACAAACAATTACAGTAAGTAATAAATTTACAACCCCTAAAAATTCGTTAAAAATATTACATTTCTTTTATAAATACTCCCTAACAAACAATTTATTATTGATTGTTATTATATTTTTCAGTATATATATTACATTATCATATTACTTAGATCTGTCCCACAAATTCATAAGATGATTTCACATGAGACTCACTCTTCAATTTGATATTATGATAATACCTATCAAAATGAATATAACTAATTAATGGACGATTAGCCAAGACTTAGTCAGTTTCCTAATGACCCAACTTGCTTTAATAATTTGCGTTAATGCGAAATCGTGTTGCCGAATGCACATGGAAGCAAATCAAATTAATATTTCATAAAATCTTATTTTGAAAATATATAGTGCAAATTTTCTTTGGGGAAAAACTAATTAATTCGTACTTTCGTAGGAAAGCAGTTCATCCTAATGTATAGTTGCCAGTTTGCCACAATCATTAGTCAAACAAATTAAAGATTAAACTGATAATTTTTTTTTTTTTTAAAACGCCCCAAAATATATAAAGGTTTAGTAAAATTAGAGTTAATTATTGAAATGGTCAATTAACTAAAACAAAATTATCAATTTGGTCATTGATTTTTTTTTTTTTGTCTAATTAAGTCCTCAATTTTAAAAATCTTAACCAATTTGGTCATCTGTTTGTTTAGATATTAGATATCTGTTTACTCGGAACCAAATTGATAATTTCGCTATAGTCAATGGAATATTTCGGTCATCACATGCACCATTTATTCTCTTATTAAACTAAAGAGTTAATTACTAAAATGGTCCATTGACTATAGCAAAATTATCAATTTGATCTCGAGTAAATAGACGTTTGACGATTAAACAAACGGAGGACCAAATTAATTAAGATTTTAAAAATTAAGAACTTAAGCAACAAAAAAAAAAGTCAAATATTGAATTGATAATTTCGTTATAGTCAGAAAATCATTTAAGTAATTAACTCGTAAAATTATGCGTTTAAACTTTTAATTAGATCAATGTTAAGCCCAAACAGTGTAATGTCCTACCGACATATCAACATATTGAACATATAATATATAAATATCTAACTATTAACTTAAATTTTTAATTAAAACAAAACCTATTATCCTTTACGTACGCACTACGCACCTGAGTCCATTTAAGCTTCCGTCGGAATAAGAGGCGTGCAGTGCAATCGGTGTTCACTTCTTTGGCTTCTGTCCTATACTAGCTTGTTCCAGCGGCCCATTATATATAAATGGATTTGTGAAATGAGATTTTATATGCAAGTGCATGCTAAGTACGTTCGTGTACTGGAAGTACTAAAAACAGCATCTATGTACTTCAGATTTAGCCATCACAAATTAAACCTACCTAATTGAAATAATAATAAAAAACTACATGATAGAATATATTATAAGTCGACTCAAACTGATCCGAGAGCACGAAGTAAGAACGGAGCTCCGGGATGATGCTACGTGTCTAAGCTGGTCGCCTCGGCCGCATTGCCCGGTCTCCAGATCAGGCGCGGTCAAAGCGGGAATAACCGCTTTCCCGGATTCAGGAGGGCAGTTAGAAGGCCAGTGGCTTGTATAAAAAAGTCCTTCCTTTGTCCAATTAAGACACGTTCACCTTCTACTCATTATTGTCCTAATCAAGCGTTGTAATAGCTTATTAGCGATATTCAATACAATATTCGGTCCTCGCGACTTTGCAACGACATCGTTTTATTCTTTTACTACCTACGTTCTTAACCGGGTTTGATAATTCGGGTCCATCCCGGGTAATTATAATTAAATCCATCACTACCCGTTGGTTTTTATCACTACCTAGTGTAGTCCGTCAGCGGGCCAATATGACCGAACGGATGAGAACTTCAAATAATTGAGATGGAAAAATAAATTGAACACCATATTTTTTTTACATGAAAATCACGGGCCTTTTTGGACAGTGTCAAGCTACGACCAACTATTTTTGTATGTAGTTTTATACATGAGCAAGTCGGATCTCTCTTCCTCAGCTCCCCCTTTCTTGCTAGAAAGTAGAAGTCCAACCTTCCTCTTAGAAAATAGCCATTCTAAAACCTGTGCAATGTGACTCCTAGCGGGTTTTATATATAAAGAATTTACTGAAAATAAAAAAAGTCTTACAAATTTAACTTTAGAAAATCTTCCTTACTTGAGTTTTGATTCCTTCCTTAAGGGTGAGATTCAAGTGAGAAATATGGTAACAAATTTTCTAATATTTCTAGGGTGCCAATTCGGACTCTTGCTTCACGACTGGCCATTGGGATGACCACTTGCTGGTGGTCGACGACGAGCTGGTCACCTTCTCATCTTGACTACTTAGCGAAGCTGACTAGGTATCCATCACTACCTTTTTATATTAATTGTGACAGATACTCTAATAAATGAAAGACACATAAATGGTCTAGTTAATGAGATTGACTAGATTAAAATAATCATAGAAATAATTATTACAGGCAAAGTTAAAAAAAAAAAAAAAAAAAAAAAAAAAAAAAACATTAAGGAATATTTCATCTCCATGAAGGGCCACTGCTCCTTTATGAAGGAGTGACCATGAATAAACACCACTCATCGGGAAGAATGGGGCTGAAACAAAGCAATATTCATTACTATTCCTTTTCCCTCCGGTCCTTCCTGCAATAAAAAATGATTTCTAGCTTCCTGTACACTTAATTAAGATTGGTAAACCCAAGTGTAAGACAAGAATTTTTATTTACTACTTTTCTTCTATTCCTTTCTAGCTGGAAAGCTTTCAATTCCCATTTAATCGAGACACGTGTTCTAGGCTCTTCATCTTGTTCTAGTCTCAGAAAAAGATCGAGTTTATATAGATCAGATAGTGAAGACTTGTCCATCCAGTTGAGAATTATATTGAAAATGGTGTCTTGAGCCATTTCTCAGTCCCTCCGATCCAAAGTCTTCATCAAGTCTGTTCTTTAATTTAGAATTTTACATTGAAGTATAGATGAAGTCTAGAATTTGGTTCCATTGCCTTTATTCAACAAACTTTGGGCTTAAAAGAAACCATGACAAACTGGGAACTATAGTCTAGCTAGCTTCAATTCACATTATATTTTTCATACAACAATTCAAAAAACTCCCACCCCCATGTCGAATGCAGGCGACCAAAAAGATGGCTGCCAGCGCGGAGTCGTCTTACCCCTTCTAGACAATGCGGTGCTCGACAGAATTCTGGACATTCACGGCCCAGAAAACATTGAATTCAATATGTCGCCTATGATCAAAGTCATTCAGGATATCGTGTACAAATCCAATCACTTCCCAGATACTATTGTAAGTATAGTAGTAGTCATTTATATATACTAGACTAGATTGCTAGGATGGTGCAATTTTAATGGCGTCGAGTCACATAATAAACTCTACTGTTACGTTGCTTTTATGTATGTAGTCTGAGAAACCAACGTTCAGATATGAAGACGTTATGAAGACGATGCACGAAAGTCTTGCATTTAAAATAAGTGTCATTTCATGCGAGGTAATTAATTAACAATATCTCATCATTAGCCAAGCATAAACCTTTTTTTTTTTTTAAGTTTTGACGTGGAATTATATATATTTTATATATATATATATATATATATGCGTGCAGATATTGGGAAGCTGTTACAGGACAGAAGACATACTGGAAACAACGTTGTCCATGTTTACTGCACTGTCTAGCTATTCATGGATGGCGAAAGGAGTGGTCGCCTTGGCAGCTTTTGCCGTAAACTATGGACAATTCCGGCTGGTTGTCGAGCCGCGTTCCACCGGCGGCGATGATACAGCTACGGTGGTGGCGTTTCTGGAGCAAGTGCCTGTGGAAATGTGTGAAACGGATTTGTATAAAGATATTACGGACTTAGCCGACGCCTTGCTGCTTCTGATTAGGACCACTTGGAAGCTGCTCTGTTTTTACACCAAATTCATCAAGCCTGGTGCAGAGGCAATAAAAAGGCTTAATCATCAACTCCCCACCATTATCAGTTGGATAATTCAGAGTATCGTCGTCTGCCAATCGCTAATCACAAACCTCGCCCACACCGGATACGAGTATGTATATATCTGCGTTTACTTCAATTCTCTGTTTTTTAAAAAGAATTGAGAATTGTGTTTAGTTAGTTCATGGGTAGTACTGCAAAGACATCGGATCTAGTCCTGATAGTCACAGTATGGGAATTACCGGGCACTGGTCCTCCTATTTTTTGTGGGTATCAGACATTTATCCTTCTACTTAATGGACCACTGAGTCAGATTAGGGTAAAAAATGGGGAATTTTACATAACCATATGATGATAGGGTATGAATTTATAGGTACATGTCATCAAGTGCAGAGGAGTGGGAGCTATCATGTCTAAAGCAGAAAGTGACCTCTTATTTCAATGAATTTGGTTAGTCCAATATTTTTGTTTGTTCTGATCAATTTTTATACTAAAGAATTCTGGAAATTCTAACCACATTAACTCTGAAGAAATTAGTGCGGCTGAGGAGCTAGCCAACCTTTTTCCTAAGGATAACATCACCGTTCTAAAACAAGTGATTTGCTCGGAGGAAATCATGAATATGGCACTGTCTGTTGGTGCCAGGACAAAACATGTAGGTTTAATTTAATTTGCAGATACTAATAAGTTGAACATATATTATGTTATCCTAACTTTCTTCACATTAATTAAAAAGCCCGGATTAGCCAAAGTTGATACTCTGGAGAAGAAGCGAGTGCTGCTATACCTCTCAACCCTTGATCTAGATGATGCTGAGATCAAAGCCGTGGAAAGGATACACGAAATCATCAAGAAATCCAACATGGTGTTGGTGTGGTTGCCTGTTCTGGATAAGCCTGAGGACTGGAAGGAATTTGAAGACAACATAGGATTATTCGAACAGAAACGAGGTTTAATGCCATGGCATGTGGTACGGAAGCCTCAATTTCTTGATCCCACCATTATTGCATTCATCAAGAATAGCTGGGAGCTGGAGAAGAAGTCCAAGATCATGGTATTTGACTCAGAAGGCAGACTGGAGAAGGAAAACGCCTTGCCCATGATTCTGGTTTGGGGAAGCTTGGCTTCTCCTTTCACTACATCCAAGGAAGATGAGCTCTGGAGATCTGAGAAACAATGGAACTTAGAGTTACTCCTCACGGTTCCTATGCGAGCCGATCTCAAGCTAAATGTAAGCTAAGCTCAATCTTTAATTTGACACTGGTAACAAGATTATATATTCTGGAATTGTTTTTTTTTTTTTTTTCAGATTGAAGAAGACAAATATATCTGCCTGTTTGGAGGAGAAGAAGTGAACTGGATCGAGCAATTCACGGAGCTAACAGAGCACGCCGTGAAAGATTCAGGAGTTTCCATGGAGATGCGTTACATAGGCGGAAGCATCCCGAGGAACACGGAGGAAATCCACAAAGCTAAAGTTGCGGAGAGTTGGAATAACATATTCATAGACAGGAGTTTGAGTTGGCTATTCTGGGCGAGGATCGAGGTTATGTTCGACTACTGTCTGAAACGAGGAATCAATTGGGACAAAGATTCCGGCAATCCAATCCTGGAGGGACTGGTGACAATGCGCAGCTTCGACAAAAGCCGGCGAGGATGGGCGATGATATGCAAAGGGGCAGACAAAATTACTAGGGCTTTTTCCGATGTTATGCTCAAGTGCTTCGAGGAGTACGATGAGAAATGGAAGAGAGAGGTGAAGGGAGGGGAATATTTTCTTGAAGCACTCAAGTCACGTATTGAACAGAACTGTGAGACGCTGTACTTTCCCCAGTCGTCTGAAGGAATACCGGAGAAGAAGATCTGCGTTGTGTGTAGGCGCGTGATGAGGAAATCATTCACGTTTAGTTGCTGGGGCGAGGATGATGCCGGCGACGGAAAACAAGAGACTCCGGCCAAGACAAAGGATGCAGGCCCTGCAATGGCGGACAGTGCTGAATCGTCCCATTCAAATCAAAGTTCAGATACTTCAACAACACAGAAATAGTGTAAAACGTACTTATTGCCTTATATTCATCATATAATAACTGTTTTTTCTATGAACTCTGTTTCTCCACATTACTGTATTTTAATTTGTTTCTTCTTTCTCCGGATTGTGTTGAATTGGTCCATTCCCTCCAATGTAAAAATGTGTGTATTTTTTTTTTTTTTTTAAGAATTACCCCATAAATGACATAAAGTAGATCACACGTTTTATTTTTATTTTTTCTCTCAATAAAATCTGAACAAGTGACTAAAATAATACTCTATCAATGAGAAAGTTCACTTATCAGTTTCCTTGAAAAATTTGTATGTATAAGTATAAAGCTATCGATACCACCTTGACTTGTACCTTAATTGCTTCAAATTTAATATCAAGTTCGACTCCTTCTAAGGAGTCACCGATTGACTTTCTTAGCCGATTAATCATGTGTAACTTAAGTTAATTTGCCTGCTTGTAATCTACGATCAAAAGTGTTATGCTCATATGCATTACATCCTAATGCACTCATACATGCATCAACATTAATCCTGGTCTATGTGTTGCATTTTATACATGCATTATGGTTATTTAGTGCACAATTGATTAATAAATTAAAGTTGAGGATTATTACTTTCTTTAATCTTTATTTTGATTTCTTTTTATTAATTAATTTATTGTATCCAAACAAAAATGATAATTTATTCTCAAATGTACACATACATATATAATATGGTAGTCGCTTCAAATTCAATATCAGCGTGTATATTGAAACCATATAATATAATATAATATAATATATGAATTACATAGCATACAATGAAGTGAACAATTCAAATCAACATTCATCGATCATACGACCGGATCCTATGGTTGCAGTATATATATAGTAAAAAATAACAAACACTAGTACAAAGATGCACATCAGCTATACCTGTACAGGTGTAGCAAATGAGGGTAATTGAAAAAATGTAGGCTTTGGTGTGGCGAAAAGCATATGAATTTTTATTTTTTACTTTTGTTTAAGAAAGACTTTCCGCGACACCTTCTACAGGGATGGTGTGTTGAGCAGCATTTGTGCGTTGAGCAGTTGCCCAATGGTTGGACGTCTTCTTCACCGTCTCGGTGAGGAGATTGAGTTTCAAGGCATGTGCTGTAAAGAGGCTGCACCCATCCAAATCGAGAATAATTAATTAATTACTTAATTATATTGGTGAATTTCAATATGTTATATTATTGATGAGTATATAAGTGGTGAGGATCGGATGAGACATACTTTTGACGATTGGACAGTAACAGAAGGTGAGCGAGCGTGATCTGGGACGAACAAACTACTGCACTTTTAATTATCCATTGAATGTCGGCCTCAGGAATTTGATCCAGTTTTTCATACAATATGAATCGAGTTAGCTTCATCATATGTTGCACAAAATCTTTAAGTGCCTTTAGCCACTGCTCCAGAGGCTGCTGCGCTTCATTTTTAGTTTGAAGATGATCAGAAATGATGTGGAGCCGCTGGAGGAGCCAAATAGACTTAATCATCTGGTTTTCCTCCCAGGATTTACGACGCTGCAGATCCCATCCAACCATGCAAATATTATATTAATCAATTCAAGGAGCTAGCATGGTTAGTGAAGCTTAATTAATTACCTTCTCCAAGTCTGGCAATTCAGAAGGGATTATGAGGTGTTTCCCACACTTCAAGGCAAGAGCCGCCACGGCTATCACCATTTTGGCCTTCCATGAATGTTTTCTTAGCGTTCCCTTCAGTATCTTGCATGTTTTCTCGTCTTCGCTTTCATTCAGCTTGCACGTCATCTGCATATACATATAAATTAAATTTCAGTAGAGTCATATATATATATATATATATATAGAGAGAGAGAGAGAGAGAGAGAGAGAAATAAAGAAAGATTTATATATATAAACCTGGCGGCTGACGTCTGATATGGTGCTTCCGTATTGATCCATGGTACCAGTGAAGAAACCTGGATTATTGTCAGCGCGGCAATACTCTTCGGGTCTTCCTCTACTTACCAATATTTGTTGGGCAACTTGGAAAATATGCTTCAGATCGTAATCTTCATAGGCAGCTTTTGCAGCAGCAGCAGCGTTGCCATTGCTATCATCGGAGTTTGACATCATCATATATATATAGATCAGATGATATGATGCGGCCGCACCCAACTCTGATAAAATTGTTTTAATTGGTAGTGGAAGTGGAAGTATATATGAGTGTATGTATAGTAGTCGATCTGCAGGCAGGCAGGCATAAATTGAAAACAAATCCACTAGCTTCTTTAATAATACCACAAATTAAAGTTGATTATTCTTTTCTCACTTCTACTCAAGGTATAAATTAAAGCTCACCCTATCCATTCCACGTACCTTTAATTTGCTTCAATTTTAAGTTTTATATATATTGTTGTGTATGTCCCCAAGTAAAATACATGAATAGTTTTGTAAATACACATTAAGGTGGTGATAAATATAATACGGAGTATATGCTACTCTACTGATAAATTACTACTACTATAGTACGCGTACTATTATATATAGAGATTACACATAACTGATTAACTCAAATTAAAAAGATTTATTATAAGTGGCTTCCATTAAGCCGGGATCAGAATTACATGTAAATAACCTGTGGTTGGGGTTGCCCTCCACACTCTTCCTCATGATTTCATTAACAAGGGATTTCAAGCCACAAAACTTCTTGGCCGGATAGATTATATTATCCAAGAATCTCCAAATTCTTTCCCTACCTTTTGTTTGAAACCATTAATAGCCTTCTTTTACTTCGATCAGTCCCTTTCGTATGTCTTCGTTTTAAAGTTAATGAACTACTCAGGAATCATTGGACGTAATAGTAATATAAACAAATATAATAAGTTTAATTTATTATGACATAACGAACACAATCAAAAAGTATTTGTCACTTTTATAATTATTATTGAAAATTTTTAAGAACGGAGTTTAGTTTATAATTATTACAAATTTAAAAGTTTAGTAATGATATAGTAAGATATTAACACTTAATTCTTCAAAATGGAAAGTGTGAATGGAAAGTGTGAATGTTTTCATACTTTTTATTAGGAGAGTTATTCTCACCTTAACCCTCCCCTATTTATATAACACAAATAAGCTCTTGTTTACATTCTGAATTTCAAATTTCAAATCTGAGGGTTAATTATTTAAAATTTAGACTCATAAAGCATAAGCATGTATTTGATGAAACAAGCATTATGATAAATTAATAAAACATCTTGATCATAATTCACAACCTCCCTTGTTATATAGGGGGTGTTTGGCAAATAGTTGATGGAGTGTGTTAGCAAGTTTGACTAGCTGATAATATTAGTTGGTTGTAAAAAAATATTTGGTAAATTACCTGATAGCAGGAGGTATAATTTATTTTCTCAAAACTGATCAAAAAGGTTGTTTTGGAGCAATAAACTGTTACAATCAAGGTCAAACAGCTAATAGTGGTAAAACAAATTAAAATTGGTTGATATTAACAAACAAGGCCATTATATTAATTAATTTCCAAACAACACACTATAACACACAGTACACGGACCGACGGATCATGAATGGATGCTTAATTCTCCAATCTTCTGGAAATAAATATACAGAAAGGTGCACACAAAGAAAAACTGAATGCATATATATGAAATTACAAGATGGAAGCAATCCGATCGAGGCGCTTAGCTTCTTGAATTGTCAGTCAGTACAGTACAGTTGTTCTTCAATTCGATCAGCTTGATGCAATAATACATTTGTTTAATTTGTGTCTCGATCACCATTAACAGCAAATGTTGGCAGGTTTCACCCTACTGCTGGAACGCCCTTTAGATTTCCCCTGATTTTTCTCTTTATTCCCAGCAGCTGTTTCCTTTTGGACATGAGGTTCTGCAAGACATACATATATGTGAATCAAATTAGCCAAACATATTATTATACCTCCTGAAACCCATTCAATTCACTCAGAAATAAAGACTTACTACTTGTAGAAGAACCACGATCTTCGGCAACCTGATCTGATCCAGTTTGATCACCTTTGTTTTCTCCGAGCATGGTTTTAAGTGCATTCTCCAAAACGCAAAGATTCCATCTGTACGGTTCTGGTAATTTACTGCCCAATTATGTAAACACATCAGAAATTTACGAGCTGTGCTAATGAGATCCAATGCAAAAACCAAATAATCATATTAAATCAATACATACTCAGGGACGCGATTATGAGCATCCGGTGTCAGAATTGCCATCATCTGCGACGAGCACACAATCGCGCATTGGATTATCAATTGCACCGCATCGTTGAGACTTTTTCCACCGCCGATCTGGGAGTCCTTCAGTATGAGATCGGATACGTCTTGCATTTGCTTTATGATTCCGGCGACTTTGCCGTGCCACAGCGTCAAATACTCGGCTCGATCTAGCACGCTCTGCTGCCGCCTCAGCGACACCACGGCTCTGGCCACCGGATTCACGGGATACAGCCCGGCGCTCAGACACACCTTCCCGTACTTCACCGCGAAGGCGGCTAAGACCATAACCACCTTCGCCTTCAACGAGTAGTTTGACAGAGCTTTCAGAATTCTGGTAACCTTCTCCCCTTCGTCATCTGTCTTCGCCTTGGATGTCAACTGTACGTGTTCATGTTCAAATTACACCACCATTTTTTATTTTTTTTTGTACTTTTTTTATTCATTCAAGCTCTTATTATTGCGTCAAAAGTTATAGCAGGTAGCCAGGGACGGAGCCAGAAAAATAATTGAACGGGGGCGAAGTTTAAATGACGGTTAGAAATATCAATTACGAAATATCTAACAGTCATAAGGTTAAAATACAAAATATATTATAATAGATTGCAATAGAATATTTTTGATAGATTAAACGATAGTTATAGTCGGAGCAAAAAATATACTTGAGTGAGGTGAAAATGTAAAAATATTTATGACAAAATATGAAACATAATCAATTCGATAAAATAATTTGAATAAAATGAAGTATAATATAAACGTGTATACTACATTACTACATTAATTAAATGATTCATAAAAAATAAACTAAAAGAACATTTAATTTGTTAATTAAATGATTCATAAAAGTAAGCTAAAAAATATTTATCTTGAGAAGGAATGAGATATAAAATAAATAAGTGAAGATAAGGAAAAGTGTTTGTAATGAGATTTGAACCTATGACCATACACTTTTTTAAAAATCAAATTTAAAATTTAACCAACTAAGCTATTCTAACTATTAATACATTAAACATAAATATAAATTTTATATAACATTTAATGCTATATATGTCTATATATACATACATATATATAAAGGGGTGGGGTGGGGGGAGTGGGGGCAGCTGCCCTCACTGCCCCCATACTGCCTCCGTCTCTGCAGGTAGTAAAAGTGCAACTTTATTTTCCTATCACATTCTTTAGAGGCAGGGTGATGGCCATTAGGACTTCGCCCAACAATTTTCTAACCACTTGGTGCTGAATTTAGTCTTTCACTGTCTTCACTCAACAATTGATATCAGAGTTGAGTCACAGATTCGAGCCCCAACAAGAATAAATTGTGCCATTAAAATTGACGGATGGCTGATGGAAATGTTGGATGGAGGGAAAGGGCCACCAAGTCACTAGGGAATTGTTAGACGGAACTGGGAAGCTTAGCTTGAAGGGCCAAGTCTAATAGAGCATATAAGAAAATAAATTTGAGCCTTTAACTACTTAGTTATATCTTTTGACACAGTGGTAAACACTTTCTTTTAACACTTTTAGATGCAATATGTAATTAATTACTTATTCTGTCTCATTTTTATCTGTCCTATTTACTATTCATTTATCAAACCAATTCTTTTTTTCTTTGCCTGTTTTCATATATTTTGTGTTTAATAGTATTTATAATATAGTTTCTAAATATATAAATTTCACATACAAATTATAAACTTAATATTATAAATAACTTCATTCAAGACTCTTTAACGTAACCCAATACATGAAATGCGACATAGTAATTACCTCGCTACTGATTTTGTTTAATGTGCTTCCAAAAATTTGCATCCATCCCTGTGGAGGGGATAGATCTCCTTTTTGCAATAATGACTCTACCTGGTTTTCCTATTTATGAAAAATCACAACAAAAATGTTTATACTGCTTCTGTTTGAGTTGAATATCTGCCGAAAGGAAAGAAGAAGAAAACAAAAATACTACCTTTGCAGCTTCATCAGGGTTAATGGTTGGGACATTAAATGTGGTGCGTTTGGTAATGTCCTTCATAGCCTTGAGAATCAAATCGAATTCACCTTTATAATCATCGTAAATGTATCTCTCGAACACTAGTTCATATTCGTTATTTGAGGAGGTTGAATTTCGTCTTGCATCTATGGCAGGCTCGGACATTATATCCTTAATTTTCTTGGAAAATAGAGCGAGCCTGGATGGGTTTTCTTGAATAATGTCTGACTGGGGAAATTAAAATGGTTCTGTTGCTTCAATTCGTGTTGAATATAATGTAGAAGTGTATGCTTGGGGGGACTGATTCAAATATTCTTTTCTTTGTTGTTAAACTGTTTTGGTGGATTGAATCAGATACTTTAATTATAATATAATCAAAGTTATTTGGAAAAGGAAAATTCTTGAAGTGACACAGCACCCCAAGATATCCACTGCATGCCATATTTAGGCAATTGATATATCCTGCACCACAGTGCACATAGCATTGTGCACTTCGTGCATCCTAAAATGACGTTGTTTTGTTAAGTTGGGTTGGAAGTCGATGTGACAAAGTGTATGTGTATTATGTTATATAATTATGTACATTTTGTTATACAATTATGTATATTCTGGTATATACAATTATGTATATTTGAACACGCGATTTTTTTTAATAGTTAAAAATTTATTTGTATTTTGCTATACAATTATGTACATTCTCATATACAATTATGTACATTTTAGTATATAATTATGTACATTTTCAAACATGATTTTTTTTTTTTTTAACAAGTTAACAGCAAACACGGAAAAACGAAATTTTTTTAAAAAAAAGTACAAAATGATATCGTTTTGCACCTGGGGCACAATGCAATGTGCGTCCTAGTGCACGATATAAAGGGGAAACATGTGGCCACTATTAGTAAAGTGTATTAGGAAAAGTTTATGCGATGAACCGGTTGAAAGAATATTAACAAAAATTAAATTTGTGAGCTACGGATACAAAAATTATACTCCACCTACTTAGATATCCCTTTTGAGACCTTTGTTGTTCTTTCTCGTTAAGCTATATATGTTGGAACTAGATAATTGTTAAACTAGATAATTGTTATCTTTTTTATTGAAATTAAATCATATCCCTCGCCAACTACTATGTACTGTGATGACACATTTGTTATCCTTCTAAATGAATGATTACATAATCGAACCCGGTGGTAGGGGCATTGTAGAATTATGAGTCAGTATAAAACATGTACTATAACAACTTTAGTCAAGCCTTGTTAACCAAGCTAGACAAACAAAATGGGATAAAGAAAGTACATATTATTTACATTTGTGATGAGTCGAGTATGACATTATAAATTATATGAATTGTAAGCTAAGGCCATACATTCTATACAAAAATCATTCATTAATATTATTTGTTACATATGTATCATTATTGTATTATGATAAGTGTATAAATGTTTATATTTTCATTCAGTTAAGAAGAAATTGAAGCCATTCTAGTCAAGAATAGATTGAAGCCATTCTAGTCAAGAATAGAGACAAAATCCATTGGAGCCCTTGAAGGTTCTTAGGGTTGGGGATTCAACATTTGAGAAGAATGGTCAGAATTCAAATTCAAATTCAAATTCAAACGCAGATTTACAATTTAGAAAGAAAGGGGTGTAACTTCAATTCCTGCAAAGTTACATCTCGATTATCCCTACAAACAAACAAGGTATATATATAACAAACAGAAGTAATTAAACTATGACCAAACTACTTCAATTCTCTATTGTTCGATCTTACAAAAGTAACTAAACATCCTCAATCTGAGGTTGAAAAATGACAAGTGTTGCCGTTTCTTCCGCTAATTTGTCAGTTTTCACGTTGATGATGATGGCAGATAATGTATGTTTCAACTGGATCTAATGTAGTAAGACGACGACTATGATATCATCAGCGCCGTATGAAAGTTAGTTCATCTCCTCGACATTCCCTAATGTTGATGTCCATAACTTTTTCAGATGTAGAAGCTAATACTTCACTGCATTGCCTTCTTGGTGATATCAGCTGCAATTTCCAAAATGAAAATGAAGAACAACTCAGGAAACTAGTTTAAGCATGACCTTTGGTCTGGCTCTGATACCAAATTGAAGCATGTGCTCCATCACAACTAAAAGTTTAAGCTAATAGTTAGATTGCATATTAGTATATGCTTCAACAGGACTAGGCAAAAGACTAACTAACACAAACTAAGTCTACCTGTTTTTTGTCAAGGACCAACTTTTTGGAATACACTCTGATTTCATCAATCTTCCTGGGAGAAGCCAGGTCAAATCTGCATCTCTCACGGCCCATTTTCTTGTAAATGCTGAGCACGGTTCCATTCCCTTCCGAAGAAGCATTCACGAAGAAGAATATGGGCTGCCGGCGGCAAGGATCAGGGTGAAATCCCCAGGTATCAAAGTCGTAAAACATTCCCTTCCCGCCCTTCTGCCATGGTATGTAACTCTGCTGCACCCGCAGAACCTCCGGCACGCGAATATGGTTTCCGAATATCTGAACAGCGTAGCCCCAAGACACCGACACCGTCCAGGAGAACCACCGGTCGTAGCACACCGTTTGCTGCAAAATCCGGTGAGGATCAAAGCTGGCGGCGTAGTACAAATGATTCAGCGCCCTGAGTATTGACATTTGCGGAAAAATTGGGTGCAGAACTTCCATGTGATGCAGAGATACCAGAGGCCTTATCGGATGCGCACTCAATAATCCAAACGCGTTCCCTTTAACATCCAGCTAATATATATTCAACAACATCAAAACATAGTTAATGAATTAAACCTACAAATTTAAATTTTGATTTGATCAAATCCTGATTTGATTTTGTTGAGATTAAAAAGAACAAGAAACAATAACAATGGCAGAAAGGGTGAAGAAGACAAGATTTACGTGGTTCGGCAATGTGCCTACGTACACGGGAGTCTTATATTCATAGTAGTAATGGTGATAGTAGTGACAGTGGTGACACAACCCTTAGGGATACAACCAATATATTTATAGGCAATCTAATCCTTGTACACTGAATAGATTTTGATCTGAGTATATATATATATATATATATATATATATATATATATATATATATAATGAAAGAAATGTTTAAGAACCTGATGAAATCCAGGCTCGCGTGTTAATGATACGCCGAGCTCTGATACGCAGGCATGGATTCTGGCATCGCTTCCATAAAGATGGGGGTATCGTTCTAGGCAGGAATCCAATACCTTAGACAGGACTTTGGCGAGAGGATAGCTTATGGCGAATCCGGCACCGCCGAACGCCATTTCGTAAGAGAAGAATTTGTTCTGGCCGTGGCTCTCCGAATTGGTGCCGATGTAGTACCAGAGGGCGTGATCGTATTTGGAGAGCGTCTTCACGAGATTCTCCGGGAAGAAGGCGGTGTCGTCGTCCCCGAACACGAACCACCTGACGTCGGAGTGGTTGAGCGCCACCGTCTCCGACACCACACGCGCGACGCGGATGGCCGACGGCGTCCCCTTCCCGTACCGATACGTGTAGCGAAACCGCGAGGTGTCCTCGGAAACACATATCGGAGGAAGCAAGTCGGTGTCGTTGTCGAACCACGTGGTGTAGCGTTCCAGAAACACGCACCCCCTCATCTTCTCCGGGCGCCACCATAGCTTAACGTATTCTTTCCGTTTACGCCAGGCGTTCTCATTGGAGGCGATCCCGAAGACGATCTGGTTGATAGTTGTTGTGGCGGATGAGGAAGAAGAGTTATGGGAAGAAGAGTTATGGGAAGAGGAGTTATGGTGGAGGGCGACGGAGTCATGGATGAGGATGGTGTTGGGGATGAGGACGAAGAAACAGAGGAAGTAGATGATGCAGAGAGAAGATGAGATTAGAAAGAAAGTCCTGGTGCCGTATTGAGGTTTGGGCGGAGCCTTGAAGAGCTGCATTTTGTTTCTTTTGAACGGTAAACATTAATTAAAGATTGGTATAGGATCGAGGAAGATGAAGCAAGCTAGGGGTTTAGACGAAGATTTTAAGGTTCACTGGCATATAATGTTTTTCGCAGCTTCTGAACATGTATAACCACGCTTTGAAACCGCAATCCTCGCTCCAAGCAATGTAGAAAATTTTGGACAATTTCTTTTTTCCTTACAAATTCAGTTACATCTGCCTGCCTGCCTGCATGCATGTAAGGAAATTAACGTATTACTAGGTTATACAAGGTGGGTTCATTAACGGCCTACCTAGCCAAGTTAGTCAGGTTAATTGTTAACTCGGTAATCACAATGTTACAAGATTAACTTTCAATAGGAGCACGTTGTACTCGTCTCTTCCATGTGGGAGGTCATGAGATCGAGCCTCAGTGAATGCGTTGTTGACTTTGTGTGCTTCATTAGGTTGAGAAAGTATGTTTAAACAAATACTACAATGTAATAGAGTCAATCTAAACAACCTAGATTGATTTACCTCATTGTGAATGATAGTGATTGCGCATTTTTCTCACAATGCAAAGTTTAATTTACTAATGCACATTCTCGAATAATTGTTACGGGTTTCCCTCGTCACCAAAGTTATATTAAAAAGGTAGTTTCATCATATATTTTTTTTTCTTAATTTAAGTGTAAATAATGCATATATATGTATACATGCATGTGAATCTCATTTAATTTTTACAAATCAAGAAATGGATGGCTTTTTTATTCCGCAACGGAAGTTAGTATTCCAAGTCAGCATACTATATTAGTATCCGCTTCTTGCACGATGATATCCCAATAGTAGAATACAGTGTAAATGATATTTCTTGAAAATTTTCACACCCCCCCCCCCCCCAAAAAAAACATATTAAATTATACGTACTAGGTTTCACAGCAGAAATTGAATAATCCTAGCTAGCTAGGTTGATCTGATGAATCTAATGTAAGTACTGATCTATATATATGTATTAGATCGAACAATTTGAGGTAGCATGCATGGCTAATAATTTACTTTACGTGAACATTGTCGTTAGTTCATCTATCCCACGAGGTCTAATCCTAATATCCATTGTCGTTCTATCCGAAGACCATGTAATATCGCAACACTGCCGTCGCGGAGCTTTGACCTGAAATATATAATATCTCCAACAATAATTAACAATAATGGTTAATTGTCAAATCCAAGATTACATTGAACTGAATAATAAATTAAAAATATTAATTACCTGTCTAATAGTATCATCAACATTATCCAACCTTTTAGAAATTACTTTGATCTCCTTCAAACCCATTAGTAACTTGGAATGTGTGGAGCAGCGTTCTACCAGACCGTGCCGAGAATACCTTGTCGAAACAACATTAGTGGTTCCATTAGAATGAACAGTGTCGAGGAAGAAGAGGAGCGGTCTTTTGCAGGGATCAGCCGGAACCGGTCTTGTGTTGAACATGAACCGGGGGTGTCCCCTGTCCTTATCCCATGGGAGGAAGGTTCTGAGCGCTGGAAGAAGGTCGGGGAGAGGATAGTAGCCCTGGTAAACTTGAACAACGTATCCCCAGGAGACGGAGACGGAGAGGGAGTTGTTTTGGTCGTAGCAGATGGTTTGCTGGGAGATTCTGGGCGGATCGGCGTGGACGGCGGCGAAGAAATGTTTGAGAGCTTGGGGCCTTGACATGTTGGGGAAAAGTGGCTGCACTTCGTCCAAGTGATGCAGAGATAGTAGAAGGGACTGTGGGTGTGATGCCAGAAATCCAAACAGGTTTCCCCACACATCTGTCTGCAATTCGATCAAACACTTTTTCTACAATCAGTTAATGTTATCAACTATTTATACCATCTAATTAACACAATCCGCTAATAACTATCAGCTAACAGCCATTTTACCAAACAGAGTCATTATCTTTTCAAAATTTTAGTTTATTAAATTAGTTTATTACTTACTAATTATTATTCACTTATTAATTATTTGTTTTCTAATTATAAACCCCTCCATCTGGGTTGTGGGCTAAGTTAGACCAGCCCAACCCATGACCTGAAATCCCTTGACTCAACAAAAAAAATAGAAAAAAAAAGATAAAAATAAAAATTATTCTTATCCAATGTGGTAATGCAACCTAAATTTCACAAAATCTTGCTCTAGTATTTAAATGTATAGATAGTAGATAATATAAAGGTATCAATATAAAAATATATGCCAAGCTTCAATTTGTCATCTTTAATTTTTATGTAATTAGAGTACAATTTAAATATTTAATCCGATGTGAATATTTATCATCCTAAATAATGTCTTTGACCAACAAGTCATAACTATTATATTACATGTGCATTTAATTATGCTTTAAATTTGAAACGAATTAGTAATGTATTACGGTAGGGATTTACTCTATCTCGTATTCAAAATACACAAAACTCCAAGATAATGGAAGTGGACCCTCTCTAAGGTCAAAATATATCTCTTTCTCCATTCCAAGAAATAACCACATTATCTCCCTCTCTTTTGCCCCCTTCTTGGCAATAAAGCTACATTAATAGCTTTGACTTAATAAAAAGTGTATATACTTTTTTTTTTTTTTCATATTGTTGTTCCTAAAAGGTTGAATATGAAAAAATGTAAATTATGATAACTCGGTGGCTAGACCTTTATTTACTATGCACAAAGAGTCCCTTCACTTTGAAAGTTTGTCCTCGCTAGTAAAACGACTCGATCTCGAGTGAGTTATTGTTCTCAAACTTCACCTTTGTGACCGACTGAGCTGCCTAGTTACTTTTTCTCTTTTAATTTCAAACAAACTGGTTGTCTATTGATTTTATTTAGATAAAATTACTTATGAATGTCCTTAAAAAGTTAGGTTAAACTCTAGAAGTTTTTAACCTTACACAAAAAGCAAAATTCAGTTACTCCAGGTTCAATCGGTATAATCCAGGGTAAATAAATCATATTGACTCAATTGTCATTGGTGTCTCTGATGTATACAAGGAATTCCACCACATTAAATGTAATTTTCACATTATTTTTTCAGGCTGAATTTTGTATCTTTGTTTATAATTTATTATTCAGAAACCAATTGAGAAGTTTTTAAGAATGTATACGTACTTGGTGAAATCCAGGTTCATGTGTTAAGCTGATGCCCAGCTCCGCCAAGCAAGCGAAAATCCTGGCATCGCTGCCGTAGAGATGCGGGTAACGTACGATGCAAGAATCCAAAACCGAACCTAAAACCTTAGCCAAACCGTGGCTTAGAGCGAAACCTCCGCCGCCGAATCCCATGTGGAACGAGAAATAAGCATTCTGTTCGTAACTCTCCGAGTTCGCCCCAACGTAGTACCACTGCTCGTGATCATACTTTGACAAAGTGCTGACCACATTCTCCACGAAAAACACCGTGTCGTCGTCCCCGAACACGTACCACCTCACGTCCGACTCGTTGCGCATCGCCACCGCTTTCACCATCCGCGCTATGGCCACCGCGGAGCGGTGCCCTTTGCTGTTATTGTAGGGGAACCCGGCGGTGCTTTCGTGGATGAGAAGCGGCGGCAGGGTCGTCGGATCGGAGGCGTTATTGGCTCCCGGCGGAAGCCGGTCTAAGAACACATACGCCCTTGTGGAATTCGGCCTGTACCACAGCCCGATGTAATCTTTCCGTCCGGGGAAAGTCTTGGCGGAGGAAGCGATTGCGAACAAGAGGTGGTGGGCGGCGGTTGGCGTGGTGTCTCCGGCGGCGGCGCTCAAGGACGACAGGCTGTAGAAAACCGGGGGTGGAGTAGTGTGGTAATTGAGAACCAAGAAAAAGATTAAGGCAAAGGTGACAATTATGAAAACTTGTTTGAAGTAAAAAATGGGTTTGGTCATTCTGAGGAAGGAGCGACTAAAACTCATCAGTTTTCAGATGCCAAAACCACACTTCAAATAAATTAAAGAATAATACTACATAATCTCACATACACGAGATTTCAAGAATGGGAACAAAAATCTCCAAGAGTTACTACTTCTCCCATTAATATACCACCATTGTTATTAATAAGGCAGTGGATTATATTGCATCAAACTTTAACGGATCAGGAAAAATGTATATATGCAAAAACATAATAAATAAATAAAAAATGAAATTACTATCTTTTATATTAAAGGGAGAATTTATTAGAATTAGAGTAACATTATAATAAGAGTTATTATATTACTAGAATTACAGGATGACATTAGAATAAGAGTTGTTATATCATTAGAATTAGTTAGAATTTAGGAATACAATCTTATAAATAATAAGTTCCATGTATTGTAAAAAGATAATCAATAAACCAGAAAAATAATATAGTCTTTTGATATTTCTCCATTCAATCTATATCTCCCTATTAGACCTCGATATTTTCTTCCTTCCTATCTTCTCTTTATCTTATATCTTTTAATATTGTAACCCCCTCTCGTTCTTCTTCTTTCTTTCTCTTGTTGGAGTCAACATCCCCTCGAAGTGGTGTTTGCTTGGGATTGTATCAATCTATAAGTAATATATAGTATTGATAATGTCGAAGTCAATGTCGTGGTTTCACACCAAAAAATAATAATAATATAACATTTAAATTAAATTTGATAATGTGTCATCATGTTATATATGGTGTGATAGAATTGAGTCAAATGGGTACCATTAATTATTTGGGGTAGAACAACATCAAAAGTCAAAACAGAATGAAGACAATACAACATTTATTTTCCAAAATAATTTTTTTTTTGATTTTTAGTGTAATTATAGGGGCTTGGTGCTAAATGTGATCAATGAGATTTAATTGAGTTCGGCAAATTACAGTGGGTCATGGCCCATATTACGAGGTGAATCACTAATATAAATTCATTTTAAATATATTGCAGGCTATTTTTGATATATTATATTACAAATTTACAAGTTTACTTTTAAGTAGTATATTAAAAATGAACCTATTATAAATGAACATGTGATATACTAAAAATGAACTTTTTATGTCATGATTTACCTTGCAATGTGAATTATGCTCCACAATATAATAGTTAATTGAGTTCTAATGTAGCTAGGAAATTATTAAGCTTTTTCATTTTACTAAACCAGGCTAGTAAGTGAGTGATACATATACGTACACAAGAATGAACAATTTATGTTACAATTCGATATGATTCTGGTATAAATTGTAACGGGTTAAATTAATGTCTAATCAATTTGATTTTTTCGAGGCCATTTTCACTTTATAAATTGACCCAATTCAAATGAACCAAATTAGATACGTTGATATCAAACCGCTCTTTAATTACTTGGTAGGCCAAGGGGCAACATAGTTCAATATTGGGGCTAAATAATTAAATTTGAAAAAAGAAATTCGAGAAAATATGAGTAGCATTTCTGTAATTTTAATTTGTAGCCCAACTTCAACTTCTAAGTAGATTTGGACTCTCGTAACTTCAAATTTTAACTTTGTGATATTCACAAGAGTGGTATCCCTCTCAGTTGGTTTTTCAATTCTGTTGAAACCATCCCAATTGAACCTCCTGAGTGGAGATTATTTTGAACAAAAATATATATTATTTTATAATATTTTGTTTTGCATTTGCATTGGTTTTCCAGCTTCTAAAGGACCATCTAAAACACATTAGAAGCCCTTCAATGCTATTTTTCAATTAAAATATAAGAAATTTAATTATTTAAACTTTCCAAAATAATTAAGACAAGTAAAAAATGAATCAACAAATTAAATATGAGTAAAAAATGTGCTCATTTTGTTGACCTTATCATTATTGTCCAACAACTCGCAAATCTTATTAATTCGGAGCCAAAATTCGTTATTTCATTCCAACAACACCATACTAAAATTACATCAAGATCGAATAAAAATAAAATACTTTCAATACGGGTTGAATAGAAATCAAAGCATAACTTCCCTTACATGGGAAACTTATTAAACGAGCCGAGCATATATATATATATATATATATATATATATATATATATATATATAGAATCCCGGCACGCTGGAACTTATTGCCTGCAGGGAATGAAGAAAAAGACAACACTTCAAACTGGAAGAAACCTATATTTTTTTATTCTGCAGATGGGAATGAATTCCTAGCTTCCATATATAGCTGCAGTGATGACAATGGCGGCGCGGTGGCGGCAGCAATCTAAGGATAGATAGATATTTGATAAATTCCGTTCATGTGTATATATATATATATCTTCGCAATGCAGTCCTTCAAAAATCAAGAATATAATGGTATATGTATGTAGTTTTTGTCCTTGAATTGGTTGAACTCAAGGATTACCAGTGTCTATAATGGCATGGTACTGGTAATTGTAGTGTGATGAAACATCTATTTAATAACCTTAAGATGAATTAGCCAATTAATGGAAGCACTGCTGAGCCCATCTCCCAAAATCATAAGACGACGACATAACCTGCCTTGATTATTGAACCAATTCAACATCTATCCATGCAATAATCTACCTTAAACATGCATGCATTTCAATCATGCCTGCTTGGTAATTTGTGGATCATAATCATACTCTTCGCCAGCTTTAACAAATCTACCTTTTACGCGTCTTCTAGTGTCAGCTCTGGCTTTACGAGATGCATATCTTATTTGCTTCTCAAACCTGCAACAAAACATGAATATAATAGGCTAGCTAGCTATTATATTATTGTTGAATTTGAAAATATATATGTATAGATTTCACATACGTTCTTGTTTTCTTCTTCTCGTGGTATCGCATCATGGCTATGTCCCTTGCCTGTGGACAGCTGACTTCCAGGTTGGACTCGCATTTGGTTTCGCCGCCGCCGCCGTTGAGAAGAGCCGCCGGCGACAATCCGCAATCTTGATAATCTGCAACGCTACTATCGCCGTTAGTGATGTTGGATATGGCGGCGGCGGAATGAGGTGCAGCTTGCTGTCCTGTTGGGAGTCCTAAGCCGCCGCCATTGTTTTTGTTGCAGGTGCTAGGAGGAGGATTCATAAGCGTGCAGTTCATCGCAACGTTATTCATGTTGCTGGGTACCAAATCAATTCCAGAACTTCCTATATCTAACCACTCTAAACCAATGCACTCTTGCCGTCCTGGAGACGAAGTCTGCGCGTACAATAAAGTAACCATTTAATGAAAATCATTGAAATTATATATATATAGGGTCAGGTTCCTATGAGAACAGGTCTTCGTGCAGTATTAGGTATGCATAAAATACACCATTATATGTGGTGTATTTTTTGTTGTGGTGCATTTTTTGGCATTTCATTCTGGTGTATTCTTCAACACTGTATGTTGCATTTATGCTGGTGTATGCCGCACTGACCACACGGAAAGACCTGTTCTCACTGGAGTCATATATATATATATATGCTAAGGCAGAATGAATGAAGGTGAAGATGAGAGCACTTACAACATGGCTGCTGGATTCAGTGCCGGAGAAGTTCTTCTCCATTGTCGTCAGGCAACCCATTCCTTCATCTTCGCCGTTGTATCTTGGCTGACCTTGTTGCAGACCGTTGAACATCTCGTAGCCGCCATTCAAATTCAGTGAAAGGTCTCCGGCGGCGTCCATGCCATCACCTTCAGGAAGCTCCAGATCCTTAGCATTGGCACAGCCCTAAAGACAAATTAAATTAAAACCAAACATGTTTATAATTAAATTATAAACATGTTAAACAAGGTAGAAATTAAATTAAGCAATAATGCCTCCGCTGACATTTAGTCAACATATATATATATATATATATATATATATATATATATATATAATTAATTAATGATGTTTCATTGACCTTATTTTTCAGCAGGCTGGATTCGGCGGCGTGATCTCTTCCAAATGGCGGGATCATAAGAGAGGGATCGAACTTGAGACACGAAGCCAACTCGTTGAGCCTGCTGGCAACTAGCCCAGCTGAAAATCCTTGATGATCATCATTGCCTTTATTCAAGTCAGCCGAGCAGGGAACTGAATTTGAATTACCATTATTCTCATTATTGTTATTATTGTTATTATTCATCATATCAAAGCGGCGGGCCGGCACATTATTCTCCACCGGAGCTTCAAGAACCGAAGCCCACATCCTGGCGAAGTCAGCCGGAGAAGGACAGCCGGTGTAGGCACTCAACATCTTGCGCCGGTGGCCCAGCTGCCCGGAACACCCATTTCCGCCCCAATCACAGGCCTGACATATGCAAATGTCGTCGTCCATACATCGGACCATTGCCGGCTCCGAATTACAGTTGTCGCAAATTAAAGATCGCTGGTGCCGGCGCGACAAGCCATTTGCAGAGTGCACACAACCGTCGCAATGTAGGCATAGCTTCGCTGAATCCGCTTTACAATACACCACTGCCCTCACCACCCCACAAAACTCACATAAAGGTTCCATATGTATATCTATTATATTATTTCCCCCCAGAAATCTATCTTATCAACAATTCTGGCAAATAATTAACTAAACATCAAGAAACCATAGAAACGAACCAGAAAAAAGGATAACCCATTGATCAAACCAACGTAACACAGCCTCGCTTGATGATTATATTGAATCACTGGCAAAGAATGGAGTTTTCTTGTGATGGAAGGAATTGTTCATGGCATGCATGCAACTAAGCATTGAAGCGCCCTTGTACGTTTTGGATTGAACGTTGAGTTTTGTTTTTGTTGGCTGTCCGATCCTTCGCCACTAATATGAGCGGGAGTTCTAATGGAGAAAGTTCTTGGTTGATATTTTACCGCACGCGGTCTGGGGCACGGAGAGGCCGCCACGTGGGTAAAGCTCAGCACTAGAAAATGATTCGTTTGCTGAGCTGGCTATTGGACGGTCATCTTGCATCATCACAAAGATATGCAAATATTTTAAGTTGGTGGCCACGGGACTCGCTCTCGCCTTTCGCGCTGGGGACTTGGGGTGCCGGGGAGAATCACGGTATCTGTAATTTAGGATTAAAAATAAATTATTTTTCTTATTTTAATATTTAAAATGCTAGTAAAATTATAATGTCATTGACTCATTGGTCTTTAATTACTAGCATAACGTCAAAATTTTAGTAAACAGGAAGTCAATTAAATTGAAAAAAACATGTACTCCTATTTATATGGCATCAAATCTAGCTGATGGATAATGTTTTTTTTTTGTTCTTTTTTCAACCAAAAGTCTTAACTTTATTTGTTTTAATGGTTTAAATTGTATTTCTGTACAATGTGTGAAGAAAATATCACTTTCTTTAATTTAATTATTATGGAAAGCTGGATTATTATTTTAAAAATAAAAGGAATTGACACCTAAAGAAAAATATCCATTAGAGTATAGACATGTGCGTGGTAAGATAAGGATGCACGTGACTCTTGGCAATCATCAATTAGTACATGGGAGAAGAAGGCAAGAACTAGAGTTTAGTGACTCCAGTCCAGTTTTATTAGTAACTTATATTTGGAGGAAGAAAAAAATACTCCTTAAAACGCAGCGTTTAATTCCTATGTACGGGAAAGTGCCACGTCACAAGCAAACAGGATAGCGTGCGAACAAACGTAAATTTTAAACCACCGGTTGATTCTAGCCATCTAAATCATCATCGGCATGTAGTCTCAGATCGACAATAATGGTGTGGTGTAGATGTTAGAGGAAGGCGACAACCACTTCCCCGCCCTGCCGGGGCCGAGCCAGCCGGAGACGGCGACGCCCCGAGTCCTCACCATCCTGTCCTCCGTCCTGGAGAAGCTGGTGGCTCGTAACGACCGCCTTGCACTGCTCTGCCTCGACGGCGGCACGCCAAATAATACCGACGGGGGGTCCTCGTCGTCGTCGTCATCAGCAGGTTTCCGGCTAGGGAAAAGTCTGAGCGCATTTCACGGCGTGAGAGCGCCGAGCATCAGCATTCCAAAGTACATCGAGAGGATTTACAAGTACACAAATTGCAGCCCGTCCTGCTTCGTGGTAGGGTACGTTTACATGGATCGATTGGCTCATAAGTACCCCAACTCCCTCGTCATCTCCCTAAATGTTCATAGGTTGCTTGTCACGTGTGTCATGGTGGCTTCCAAGATTCTAGACGACGAGTAAGCGGTTAAGAACATCATTAATATATATAATCTCTGCTCTGATCTGCAGCTCTATCTGTCTGTGGTAAAGCTTAATTATGATATTGTATATATATATATATATATGGTTTGTGGGCGCAGGCACTACAACAATGCGTTCTTTGCTAGGGTTGGGGGAGTAAGCAACGCAGAGCTAAACAAGCTGGAGATAGAGCTGCTTTTCTTGCTGGATTTTGGGGTCTCTGTAAGCTCTCAAGTTTTTGAGTGCTATTGCCAGCACTTAGACAAGGAAATATTGCAGTGCAATGGCATTGGCGCCGACGCCACAATTATCAATATTATTCAAAGAGGAGTTGAAGCACTTGACGATGATATTACACTCGCTTCTTCGCCCCCGCCGCCGCCGCCTAACTTTGCAGATTAATCATCTTGCCATTGTTTTTTTTTTTTTAAGGGAAATTTGCAGCAACTATTTGGAAGTGGACACGGGATAATCTCATTAGACCCAGCTTAGGTTGTCCAGAATTGATGAGCTCAAATCAAGAAAGTTAATACTGTACATGAAATTTGTAATTTTGTGATTATCAAGTCAACATTTTGACTAACTTGGTTAGAGTTGACTCTAATGTTGCTTTCTTTATACTTTTTGGTCTCTATGGTTAATTATTTGGTTAATCGTTCATCTTTACTAATCTTTTTTATTTTAAAATTTTGATGAATTAATTCAACTTTAACGGTACCAGGACTATGTGGTCTAATGGTATCCGGGTTGGACTTCCATTTGGAAGGTTGTAAGTTCGAGCCTCAGTGGAGGCGTTATTAGCTCTCTGTGTTTCTGTGTTTCACGTATATTAACTCTACGTGATATTTATTTATTCTTGTTAAGGAAAATTCTTACAATGTTACAACAAATGTAGCATTCTAAAAATAAAAATGACAAAAAATATATTTATAATTTTTTTCTATAAATTACTAAACATGCACCACATGTATATGTCTTAAATTACCTATGCAGTCTATCACAATTATTATTTATGTAATACGAGGAACTATATTAGTGCACAATACTAGAGTTTTTTGCACTTTTAGTCCCACGATAATAGTGGCACTGGCAAAATTGATCCATGATTTTTGAACCTTGCAATTTTAGTCCACGACTATTGATTTTTTTTGCAAAAATGGTCCTTCCGGCCACTTTTCCGTCAAAATTTCACCGGAAAAAAAAAATCTCTATTTTAGTCGTGTTAAAATTGACATTTTACTTATCTCAAAAAATTAAAAGAAAAAAATTGAAATTTGACTACATACAATATTACTGGGCTACATACTACTGCCCCAGGCAGCGGAGTACATGTACCACTCCAATGCTGCTGCCAGATAACCCAACTAGCCCGGGGAACGCCACGGCCGCTCCGCCGCTTACTGACAGCCCTGCCTGCTCCAGGAACTCCGCCGCCTGGGGCAGTAGTATGTAGCCCAGTAATATTGTATGTAGTCAAATATCAATTTTTTTCTTTTAATTTTTTGAGATAAGTAAAATGTCAATTTTAACTCGGCTAAAAATGGAGAATTTTTTTTCCCGGTGAAATTTTGACGGAAAAGTGGCCGGAAGGACCATTTTTGCAAAAAAATCAATAGTCGTGGACTAAAATTGCAAAGTTCAAAAGTCGTGAATCAATTCTGTCAGTGCCACTATAGTCGTGGGACTAAAAGTGCAAAAAACTCCACAATACTACAATCTACTATATATATATATATATATATATATATATATATATATATATATATATATATATATACTAATAAGAGCCCAAGAGAGTTAGGCCTATAATGGGTAGAAAAAATGGCGGTCAAAATTTTTAATCAAATGAATGGCTCAGATTGATCAGATTTTAATTTTTCCTTAAGATTTACTAATTTATCCTTAATGAATATGATTTTCCGTTAACTTTTCCGTTAAATATTATCTTTTCCGTTAATTTCTGTTAGTTCACCGTTGACTTACTCATTGATTTCAATAAGAAAGGTCTTAGGTTCGAACCTCATCTCAATCAAAGTTGACATAATTAGTACTCTATTTTACTCTTATTAAATTAAAATAATAATAATTTAGTAGCTACAACAAAAAATAATACATGAATATGCATTTCTTTAATTTAGAATTATGTGTCTACAATGTCTTTATTCAAAAAAAAATTATTCATTATCAATAAATTAAATAAGATAAATAATTTCATTAGTTATATTGTCTTTATTTTTCTCTAATATAAAAATTCTTTACATTCAATTTCATCAATTGATTATATTCGCTACATTATCCCTACAATGTCTTTATTAAAAAAAATTATTCATTATCAATAAATTAATTAAGAGAAATAATTTTATTAGTTATATTGTCTTTATATTTCTCGAAATGTAAAAATTCTTTACATTCAAATTCATCAATTATATTGATTATTTTTACTACATTGTCTATTATCTTTTTTGTGCACTATTTTAAAATTAAATATCAAAGTTATAATACAAAATAATGTTATATATTTATTTACCAAGTATTTTATTAATACCATGAAAAAATTAAAAATATAATTAATAAAGTCAATCATATTAACTATTTGAGGGATTTGTTGAAAAAGAGAGTATTCAAATCACACAACAAAAAGTGAGAACTATCTCGCAATGTCCTTGTTTGAAAATCAGCAGTTAGCGGTTAGCGTTAGCGAATTATATTAACGGATTTGACCAGCGAATTATATTAACGGTTGGTAAAAAGATATTTGAAAAAATTAGCTGTTTAGATTACCATATGTAAAATGACCTAAGGGTATACATAATAATAATAATAATAATAATAATAATAATAATAATAATAATAATAATAATTATTATTATTATTATTATTATTATTATTATTATTATTATAATAATTGTTTATATATATATAATATTAAACCAATCATATTAACTACCTTGGGGATTTATTGATAAAAAGAGTATTGAAATCATTCACACAACAAATTGAAGTGAGAAACTACTTTGCAATGTCCTTGTTTGTCAATCAGCAGTTAGCTCTTCAATATTAATATATATTTAATATTTTATGCCTTAATTTTTATTTGCTCTCCCTTATCTCCCATATTTGGTTTAAACCATACTTATACAATTATTTTATAGACAATTATAATCAATCTTGACTATATTATATTGCATTTGTAAACTTAGAATTACCTATTTAAATACGCAAATTCAACATTCAAGTATCTATGTATGAACAATTCCAATATAATCTTATATTTATATACTTTAGAGTACTTATTTAAAAAAATATTGGGCATTATCCCAATCGCGCAATGCGCGTAAAAAACTAGTAGCATTAATAAATGGTGTCTAAAATGCTGTGCAGAGCAACTATGCAACAGTTAAGAATTGAAAAAGTGGTTAATGTGTTAATTTTATTGTATTTCTTAAAAAAAAAAAAAAAAAAAAGAATAATTCAGATGCAATTGAAATTGAAAGAATTGCATAGGTGCTATTAGCCTTAGACTTTATTTAGCACGCCTAGCTGAAAAGTTAGTAGTTAATAAGTTAATTAATTGAAATTAAGTGTTTAATAAAATTAATTATTGAAGTAGTTATAAGTGTAAAAGGACATAAAAATATAAACTAAAATATTATGATTTTTATTAATGAATGATAGATCATATTATTTTTGTATATATATATATATATATATATATATATATATATATATATATAAAGAAAAAAGTTTAAAAATCATGAACTTAATTTGAAATGTTATTTGAATAACATTTCAAAATAAATTAAGTTCTCTATATTTTACAAACTCTCTAAAATAAGTTCTACCCAAAACTACCTAACTAATATTTAGTTCGTTACATGTATAAATAAATATAAAGGAATAAGGGTCAAATGAGCCATCAAACTGCACACAATAATGCAATTAGGCCATCGAACCTAAAAAAGCTACAATTAGATTCATAAACTAATCATTTTCTTATAATTTGTCTATTTTGTAAGTTTTCTAGGTTGCTAGCAGGTCACCTTTAATTTAAAATATTTTTTAAAATATTTATTATTTAAATAATTATTTTAAATTTTTTAAAAAAAGATACAGATCGTCTCCGGCCAATTGTTCGTTTCCATGGCCGGAGACGTCTTCGTCTCTGGCCGGAGGCGAAGATAACTTCTTCGTCTCCGGCCATGGATTCGGCCATGGAGACGAATCCATGTGGTGTAGCAAAAATAAGATGTGAGCTCGGGTGTGTAATGTTGTCCTCAGGGGATTGGTGGTTATGGCACGCAATATGCAATCACAAGAAACTAGTCACTAGCATAAGGAAATCAACAAGAAGCTAAGCAAACTACAAGTTTAAGGAAATGATAAGACTAACACATATACACAAAGATAAACACAAAAATAAAGAGATAGGACTCAAGCTAGGGAGCATTATCATCTAGATGCTTTAACAACCTAAGGGATTAGGGAGAACAAGTAACCAAGGAAACAAGCGGGAATGCACGTAGGTATCCTAGTCTACGAACCATTCTCATGATTAATAAACAAGGATTAGAACAAGGAATTGCCCCACTTTCGTGGTGAATCAATTCCAAGTCCATCAAGCACACAAAGCATCTAAAGCCCCCAATTTCCCCTATTTTCGTAGGAAGAAATCGGGTCTATGCAAGGGGTGGCTTGGATTCATCACCCAACTCTCGTTGAGGCAAGGAATCCTCCAAAAACAAGCTAATGAATGTGTACATCAAACATTAACAAGATATAAATACAAAACCTTCACAAACACATGAACCCTAGGTTGGAGTTCTTCCCCTTTTTTGCAATAATCACAAATCAAGCATCAAGATAGATAATACAACCCTAACTCAAGTCCAAAAACTAACTACTCATGATTAAATAGCATAAAGAATACAAGAACACAAGTAATAAACATAAATCTTGCAAAGTAAAGAGATAAAAGGAAAAAGAACTTATGTATTGAAAATGGAAGAACAATCTTGAAATGTTGAAATCCAATCTCCAAATCCAAGATTACAAGCTTCAAAAGTGTTAAGAAACATAAATCTAAGTCTAATCTAACCTAAAAATATGAAAGGAAGTGAAAGGAAATGTCTAGGGTTGGAACAAGGTCCAAAACCGAGTTGAAATGATACAAAACGCGCCTAAATAGAGCAGAGCAGATTGGGACGCCCTCAGGGATGGGAGTACGTCAGGGGGTACGATTTTTGGTGCATTTCCAGTGAAAAATGGATCAGGGAGAAGAGATGCGTACTGGCATGCGTATGGGCGTACGGCAGGGCGTACGAGGCTGCTGAAAACAGAATTCTGTGCACTTGTCTTGACTTCTAGGCTATTTTTCTCATCTAAAACCATTTTATTGACACTTATGATCTTCAGCAAAGTTGTATCCCTTTACGTTAGGTTTCCAATGGTTCAAGAATCACTTCATTTGGACATTTATAGGCTGAGATATGGTCCAAAAACCAAATAGTGGTCAGTTTTGAATTGTAAGTTTGGAACTTCAACTTCAAGGATAATTTCGACCACCGTGGCTTCCTTTTTAGGCTTTGATGTTTGAATATTAGTTGTAGCTCTTTGAATCTTCTATCCAATGGGACAAGAATCACATAAATTGGATATTTCTAGACCGA